CCGACGGCGCGGAGGAGCAGGGGCTGCCCCGACGAGGGCAGGCGTGCGGTTTTGGGGCAGCTCGTGGCAGCCCCGCCCTCCACACAGTCCAGTGCTGACGCCGCGGCGCTGCGCTGCGTCGCGTGGCGGCTTGCGGCCGCACCTGCACGTACAGGCCACAAAGGGCGGGACGCAACGCGCCGTGTTTCGGTGCGCGTCCATTGTGCGCTGGCTAGTGTCCGTCTCCGGTCCGTCCCCGGTCCGTCGCCACCTTCGCAGCCACTCGTTTTAAGTTTTGGCCTTGTACTTTTTCTTGAAGTGTCCGTCCCCAGCGCGGGGACGGACCGTCCCGCGGCAGGGAAATACCGCCTCTCCCTGGACGAGGCGAAACCGCATCCTCGGCGCCGCAGCGAGGTCGCGCGAACAGCGCTCGACGCGTCCGGTGCACCGAAAGCCCCCGCCGCAGAAAGCGATGGGTTTCCTCGAGCGGCTCGGCCGCATCGTCGCGCCGCTCCCCGAGGACCTGCCGCCGCCGACGCCGCCGTCCCAGACCTTCAGCGGCCGCTTCGCGCAGATGCTCGCGCCCGACGAGCAGGCGGCCCAGAAGGCGGACACGCTCGCCCTCGGCGTCGAGGAGTCCAAGGGCGCCGCGCCCATGGACGTCGAGCGGTCCGCGGCGCCGGCGGTCTCGGCCGCGCCGCCCGCGCCCGCGGCGGCCGCCCCGGCGGGCAAGACGCCCCTGAAGATCGGCATCCGGGTCTCCGGCGCCAACTGGGAGGCGTACAACGCCAAGCACAACGTCGAGCAGCTCATCGCGGAGATCACCGGCGCGATGATCCGCGCCGAGGCCGACAGCCCCGTCAAATTCATGCACGACTACCTCGCCAAGACCTACCCGGAGACCGTCGCGGCGAACTAGGGGGACTAAGCGGATGTCTGCTGCTGCCTTGTGTTTTTTTCGGTGATGGTCGCCGTAGTCTCGCGCGGTCGCGGTCCGGCCGCGGCGCGCGGCGCGGTTCCAGACGTCCTTTTTGTCCCGGTCGCGGCCCCAACGACCGAGGACGTCGGCGCCGGGCCTTTCGCCGCTTCTGTGGGCGCTTGGGGCGTCGCGGCGGCGATGTTGAAGCCCGAGAAGTTGGCGTTGCCGCGCGAGTTGCCGAGCGCCGAGCTGCGTGAGCCTCTCGTCGAGCGCGACCGCACCCGCGCGCCGCCGCCCACGGCGATAATGGACTACCGCGAGATTCAAATGATGCAGCGCGCCCGCGCGGGCGAGGCGCGCGAGGCCCGGTCCGAGGCCCACGAGAAGCACCTCGCCGAGCTCGCGACCAACAGCGCCGGCGCGCTGGACTGCGGCGGCGACGGGACCTACCAGTGCCTCAAGGCGCCCCAGACGGCCCCCGCGCCCGGCGCCAAGCAGTGCGTGCCCGGCGACATCGCGCTCGTCCACTACACGGGCTGGCTCATCGACGCGCCGTCGGCATCGCCGCCGACGCTCGACGCCGCCGCGATCGCCGAGGCCACGGCCGGCGCGCCCTTCGACTCGTCGCGGGGCCGCGGCACGGAGTTCACGTTCCGCGTCGGCGCGCGCCACGTCATCCGCGGCTGGGACACGGGCGTCGCGACGATGAAAGTCGGCGAGCGCGCGTACCTGCTCCTCGCGCCGGACTACGGCTACGGCGCGGCAGGCGCCGCCGACGTCATCCCGCCGGGCTCCTGGCTCCTCTTCGACGTCGAGCTCTGCCGCATCCAGGACACCGCGGAGCCCGAGCACATCTTCACGACGCCGTCCCTCGTCGCGGGCATCGTCACCGTCCTCATCTGCGTCTACTACATGTTCATCTTCACGCCCAAAAACGCGAAGCTCGCCGCCACGGGCGAGGCCGAGCTGTGATCGTTTGGAAAGCTAAAAAGTGCGTATATTGAGGTGTTCAACGTGAGCTGTGATTGGCCCATCTCACAGAGCATGGCGGCGTCCTCCACTTCCACCACCATGGACGAGCTCCTGAAGCGCTCCACGGTCGCGCAGAGCCTCGTCCGCAATCCCATCCGCGTCGTCATGAACCGCGTCTTCGCGGATCCGTCGATCCTGTCGCTGGCCGGCGGCCGCCCGGTCGCCAGCGTCTTCCCGCTCGTGGGCCTCTCCCTGAAGCTCAAGGACAATTCGACGTTGACGACGGACCTCGTCGACAACGACCTGAACTACGGCGCCCTGAACGCCATCGGCACGCCGGCGCTGCGCGGCTGGCAGAAGGCCTTCGTGAAGGCGTTCCACGGCGTCGACGTCGAGGCGAGGGGCTACGACTGCGTCGTCACGCCGGGCAACAGCGACGGCATCTTCAAGAGCGTCCTCGCGCTGAGCGACCCCGGCGACATCATCTTCGCCGACGCCTACACCTACACGGGCATCCTGGCCTGCGCGAGGCCGCTCGGGCGCCTCGTCGTCGGCGTCGACGGCGACGACGACGGCATGTCGCCCGACGCGCTCGTCGAGGCCTGCGCGCGCGCGCGCCGGGCGGGCAGGCGCTGCGCGATGCTCTACGTGATCCCCAACGGCCACAACCCGCTGGGGCTCACCATGCCGGAGAAGCGGCGGAAGGAGTTGTACCTCGCGTGCCGCGCGGGCAACCTGGCCGTCGTCGAGGACGACTCCTACTCGCTGCTGCGCCTCCCGGCGCGGGGGAAGAAGGACTACGCGGGCCTGCGGGGCGCGCTGTCGCTGGAGCCGTCGTTCCTCGCCATCGACGCGCTCCCGGGCTTCGGCGACGGCCGCGTCGTCCGCCTCGACTCGTTCTCCAAGAGCCTCTGCCCGGGTCTGCGGTTCGGCTTCCTCACGGCGCCCAAGCCGCTCGTCGAGAAGCTCGGCACGCTCAACGAGGTCACGACCTGGAGCCTGAGCGGCGTCGCGCTCAAGGCCTACGAGATCCTTTTGAACGACCTCGCGAAGAAGAACTACGCGAAGCTGGAGAAGCAGGCCAAGGACGTGCAGCGGCTCTACGCGACGCGCCGCGATCTCCTCCTCGACGCGCTCGACAAGATCCTGAAGCCCCACGCGACGTACAACGCGCCCAAGAGCGGCATGTTCCTGCTCGTCAGGGCCGCGGATCCCGACGTCGACGTCGCCGCGCTCCTCGACGACCTCCTGGACGCCGGCGTCGCGGCGCTGCCCGCCGCGGGCTTCCGGCCCGACGGCGGGCCGTCGAACGCGTTCCGCGTGTCGTTCACGCAGGTCCACTCGCGCGAGGTCGCGGAGCGCGCGGCGACGAAACTCAAGGCCGTGCTGTCGGACGCGGCCAAGGTCGCGGCGGCGAAGAAGGGCTGGGCCGCGAAGCGCGCCGCGGCCGCGGCGCGCGTCGACGCGCTCTTCGCCGCGGAGCGGCCCCCCCTGGCCGTGCCCCTGCCCTACGTCGTCGCCGGAGTTTCCGTGCTCGTGGCCCTCCTCCTGCGCCGCAAGTGAGCGCGCGTAAGGCGTCGTTTTTGAGCTTCACCTTGACGGCCCTCACCAACTCGAGAGTTCTTGCCGCAGCCATCCAAGCAGCATGGCAGCGCGGATGATTCTCGCGCGGTGCGCGCGCCGCGTGCCCTACGGCGCGGCGGCCGTCGTGTCGACGTCCTGCGCGCTCGCCGACGAGGGCCCGACGTTCAGCGTCGAGAAGGTGGACCTCAAGCGCGTCACGCACCTGCAGACGCTGGGCTTCCGGAGCAAGGGCGGGTCCAACGCCAAGTCCTTCGGCTACGCCAAGTTCATCTCCGACGACGACTGCGTGCTCGGCGACGTGTTGCTCAAGGCGCACGCCGGCCCGCGCGAGGTCACGGGCTACATGCGCGCGGGCCCGCGGAGCGAGCTCCACTTCGACCCGAAGGAGACGCGCGCGGCGATCGTCACCTGCGGCGGCCTCTGCCCGGGCCTCAACTCCATCGTCAAGAACCTGGTGACGATCCTCGAGGGCCACTACGGCATCCAGAAGATCTACGGGGTCTCCGGCGGCTACCGGGGCTTCACGTCCGTCGGCTGGGACGCGCCCGTCGAGCTGTCGAGCGACTACTGCGAGCGCATCCACCACGACGGCGGCACGGTGCTCGGCACGTCGCGCGGCGGCTTCGACGCCGAGAAGATCGTCGAGTGGCTCAAGGCCAAGCACGTGTCGCAGCTCTTCGTCGTCGGCGGCGACGGCACGCACCGCGGCGCGTACAAGCTCGCGGAGCTGTGCGTCGCCCGGGGCCTGAACGTGTCCGTCGCGGGCATCCCGAAGACCATCGACAACGACATTGGCATCATCGACCGGAGCTTCGGCTTCATGACCGCCGTCTCCGAGGCGACGCGCGCGATCGCCGCCGCGCGGACGGAAGCGGAGTGCAACATGCCGAACGGCATCGGCGTCGTCAAGCTCATGGGCCGGTCCGCGGGCTTCCTGGCCGCCTACGCGACGCTGGCGTCCCAGGACGTCGACTTGTGCCTCGTGCCGGAGGTGCCCATCGTCATGGAGGGCCCGCAGGGCGTGCTCCCGCACCTCGAGCGCGTCATCGACCGCAAGGGCCACGCCGTCGTCGTCGTCGCGGAGGGCGCCGGCGAGGAGCTCCTCGGCGCGTCCGCCGAGGTCGACGCGGGCGGCAACAAGAAGCTGCCGGCCATCGGCGAGTGGCTCGTGGCCGAGATCAAGAAACACTTCAAGGCCTCGGGCAAGGAGGCGACGCTCAAGTACATCGACCCGTCCTACATGGTGCGCTCCGTCGCCGCGGACGCGGGCGACTCCTATTTGTGCATGCTCCTCGCCCACGCGGCGGCCCACGGCTCCATGGCGGGCTACACGGGCTTCACGGTGGGCCTCGTGAACAACCGCACGGTTCGCGGCCGGCGTTTTTCGAGAGATTCCGACGGGGAAAACGATGAAACATCGTGCTTGGTAGGTCATGATCCCCATCCCGGAGCTCGCGCGGACGTCGCCGCGGTCGATGAACGCCACGGGCCGCACCTGGGAGCGCGTCCTGTCCATCACGAGCCAGCCGGGCATCGCGCTCGCGCGCAAGAAGACCAAGGCCGGGTCGCCGGTCGACGAGGCGCCCTGAGCGGTCCATAAGAACGATCCCGCGGTCCCGACGAGGTCCGGGCGGGTCGAAGCGAGGTTACATAAAAAAAACGTCGCCCCGGGCGCGAGAAGCGCTTTCGCGGGCCCGGGGCGACGCTGGCCGCCGCGCCGTGGACGGCGCGGCGTTGCGGGCGTCTGCCAATTGGGCGGGGCGCGTCCTACTGGGGATGGTCCGGCGGCGGCGGCGGCGCGGCCGCCGCGGCCGCCTTGGCGGTCGCCGCGCGGCCCACGAGCCCGTGGCGCATCTTCCACCACCAGTAGACGTGGAACTTGCGGATGGCGTCCTCGCGGATGTGCTTGGCGAGGGCCGTGCGCATGGTCCGCCAGCGCAGGCGGCTGCACGCGCGCCAGGACGTGATCGTCTCGATCAAACCCATGGCCGACGCGCACCGCTTGTTGACGAAGCTGTGCATCAGGAGCGCCCGCAGGCTCTTGTACTGGAAGCCCAATTCGATCTCGTTGCACATGCGCACGTTCAGCTCCCGTCTCGTGTACATCGACGTCGCGTTCCACTTGCCGTGAGCTGCAACAGCCACCTCGGCGTCGCGCACGAAGAGCACCTGGCCGCGCACCTTGACGACGGCGTCCCAGCGGAGCAGGGCCTCGTCGAAGGCGAGCGGCTTATTGGGGGACATGTCACTCGCGCATCCCAAGATAGAATGCAGCACTATGCAGCCCACATCACTCGACGGAACCTGTGAAAGTAGAATGCAGCACGAGACAAAGGTGCCGAGACCATTGACCCCGAAATAATCGGGCTGAAACTTCAGGTCTTCGTTGAAGATGCAGGAAGACTCGATGCGAATGCTCTCGCGGCCGGAACCATGCCCGCCTACGCCCCCCTCCGCGCCGCGGGCAACAAGCACAAAACGGCCCTGTTAGTCGTCGAAGACCTTCGTCTCGAGGTCGCGGTAGAGCCAGCGGCCCTCCTCGACGCCGCCCGCGGCCGCGCGGAGCGCCGCGTCGTCGACGCGCTGGCCCGACGTCACGCCCCGGCGGCTGTTGCCCACGTTGAAGAGCGCGTTGGGCTGGAGCTCGTGGGCCTTGGCCGTCATCCGCGCCGCGAAGAGCCGCCGGCTCTCGAGCGTGCTCCGGATGTAGCGGCGGTGCAGGTCCGCGTAGAGCGCGACGGCGGCGTCGCGCGCGTCGAGGTCGCAGAGGAGGCGCGCCGTGTTCGCGAGGGCGCGCTCCAAATCCCGGTTCTCCATGGTCACGGTGCCGTCGCCCGGCCCGATGACGCGCAGGTGCGTCGCGAGCGACCGCTTCCGCAGGAAGAGCGCGACGTGGGGCCGGTCCCGCGCCTCCTCGAGGTCCGCGAGCACGCGCTCCGTGCGGCTGCTCAGGATCGCCAGCGCGTCCTTCTCGCGCTTCTTGGGCTTCCGCGCGGCCGCGTCGTCCTCCGCGGAGGCGGCGCGCGCGACGCGGCTCAACCGCTTGAAGTCGGCCTTCTGCTTCGACAGGAGCCGCCGCAGCGTGCCGCTCGCCTCCGTGAAGCGCCCGCGCTTCACCATGTAGTGCGCGTACTCGAGCTCCGGCGCCTGGGGCAGGTAGTTGTCGGAGTTGGTCGCGTCGACGGCGTCGCGGAGGTGCTCGAGCTTCGCGCGCCACGCGTCGATGTCGATGCCCGGCGCCTTCTGGGTCGCCGGCGCGGCGAAGGGCGCCGCCTCCGCGTAGGCCGACGCGAACTTGTTCGCGCGGCGCCGCTGCAACGCCCGCTGGAAGAGCGCCGCGTGGCGCCGTTCCACCTTCCCGAGCTCCTCGGCGTCCTCGTTGCCGTCGTCCGAGTCCGAGTCGTCGTCCTGCGCCGTGCCCCCGAGGCTCGACGCCTCGTCGAGGTCGTGGTCCTTGTGGTTCAACGGCACGGCGCCGTCGTCGCCGTCGAGGAACCGCTGCAGCACGTCGTCGACGAGGTACGCGTACGACGACCCCGTCGAAGCGTCGTCGTCGTCGAGGAGCGTCTCGTCGATGTCCTCGTCCTCGACGACCGGCGGCGCCGGCGCCGGCCCGGAGCTCTCCGGCTCGGGGAAGTCGAAGTCCTCGTCGTCGACGACGGGCGGCGCCTCGGCCTCGTCGTCGTCGTCGCCGCCGCGGCTCGACGAGTCCGGCGACTCGATGCCAGCGCCCGCGTAGGCCTCGTGGGACGCGAGGCCCGCCTCCCTGTACTCGCCCTTGACCATGTGGCCGTAGGACGCGACGCCGTAGCGGCTCCGGTAGAGGTCCTTGAGCGTGATCACGGGGTCCCTTAACGTCTGCAGGTACACGGACGCGGCCGCGGCCGCGTCGCGCGCGTCCTCGCGGTCCTTCTTCCGCGCCGCCGCGAGGCGCTCCTCCTGCTCGAGCAGCGTGCCCTCGTGGCGCTTCTTCTTCTTCTTCTTCGGCGACGCGGGCGACCTCTTCGGCGACGACCCCCGCGACCCGCGCGACGACCCGCGCGACGACGGCCGCGCGACGAGCGCCGCGGAGTCGTCGTCGTCGTCGTCGTCGTCGCGCTCGCGGCTGTAGAGGCCGCGGCTCGGCGTCGAGGGCCCGCCGGCCGTGTAGGACACCGCGACCTCGCGCGGCGGGAGCCGCCACTGCCACGACGTGTCGCGGTCCGCCTTCACGGGGTCGTTGCGCGCCTCGTCCTCGTCGAGGGCCAGGGGCGCCGGCGCGTGCTTCTCCCGCGCGGCCTTGAGCTTGTTCTTCCTCTCGTCGCGCTCGCGCTGCAGCTCCTTCGTAAGTCGCGCGCGGCCCGGTAGGCCTCGCGCGCGTCGTGGCAGTCGACGGCGACCCGACCCCCCTGCTCCCGCGCCGCGAGCAAAATCTGCGCGAGCTCCGTGCCCGGGCCCGCGTCGCGCTTGACGCCGAAGACCGCGGCCTGGTGCGAGTTGACGTCGCGCGCGGCCGCGTCCGCGCCGCCCCTCAACAACGCGAGCACGCACTCGAGCTGGTTCGCGTCCGCCGCGGCCATGAGCGCCGTGCGCAGGTTGCGGTTCGCGTAGTTGACGTCGCAGCCCGCGGTGACGAGATTCTCCAGGAGCTTGTGGTCGCCCTTGTGCGCGGCGACGAAGAGCGCCGTCGTGCCCGTGCGCGTCTCCTGGTCCGGCGCGACGTCGCCGTTGCGGATGACGTGGAGCGCCGTCTTCGTCACGTCGACCTCGGCCTTGGCGTCGAGCTCGCCGCCGGACTCGATGGCCCGCTCGAGGCGCGCGAACTGGAGCAGCGCGCAGCGGTCGAGCTCCTGGTCCTTGCGGCTCGACACGAGCTCGCGGCCGACGCGGCGCACGCGCCGCAGGTAGTCGCCGAGCTTCTGCTGCTGGAGCTGGAGCGCGAGCTCGCCGGGGCTCGTGCCGCGCGCGTCGCCGAGGTCCGTGCGCGCGCCCTTTTTTACCAAGTGGATGCACGTCCGCAGGTCCCGGCGCCGCACGGCGACGTGGAGCGCCGTCAGATTGTCGGGCCCGAAGTTCTGGTCCACGAGCCGCGTCACGGTCTCCGGCCCGCCTAAACGCTCCGTCTCCTCGACGAGCACGTCGATGGTCATGAGCTGGCCCGCGGACGCCGCGGCGACGATGGGCGGCACGACGTAGTGGCGGCCCTTCGTCAGCGCCGGGTCCTCGCCGGGGAAGAGGTCCGTGTCGCCCGTGTTCGACATGCCCGCGGAGCCCACCTTCTTGTACTTGAACGGCATCGCCGACGACGCGCCGAGGTCCAGCAGGTGGTGGACCATGACCGCGTCGCCGCGCTTCGCCGCGAGCGCCATCGCGGACAGGCCCGTGACGCGCGACGGGTAGTCCACGGACGCGCCGGCCTCGACCAACGCCGACGTCGCGTGGCGGTCCTGGCTCAGGATCGCCGCCATCAGCGCCGTGACGCCCGCCTTCGTCTCCATGTTGACGTCGCACGCGCCGTGGCGCGCGAGGCTCACGGCGGCCTTCAATTCGCGGTTCGCGATGGCGCGCAACAAGCCGCCCTTGGACTCCTTCGTCGCCGCGGTCTTGATGAGCACCTGCTTCGACGCCTTCCGGCCGTCGCGGAACGCGATGGACGCGCGCGCCTCCGCCGCGACCGCGTACTTGCGGTGCTCGACGGCGATCTGCTCGCCGAGCACGGACGCGCGGTCCACGACGGCCAAATTCGGCCCCCGCAGGGGCTCGCTCAGGAACGGCGACTCCCGGACCCACTCGGGCGCGCCGAAGGTGCCCGTCACCGTCGGCGCGCCGACGCGCGCGGCGCCGCGGCGCGCCTCGACGAGCCCGCGGTACGTCGTCTCGAGCTGGACGACGTGGCGGCTCGGCAGGGACGCGTCCGAGAGCCAGTGGCTGTGGTTCCGCCCGCCGTCGAGGATCTGGCGCCGCCGGTTGCACTGGTCGCTCTCCCACTTGTCGCACTCGGACCGCATCTTGAACGCGCGGCCCGTCCAGGCCGCGTAGGCCTCCCGGAGCACGACGCAGACCGCCGCCTGCTCGTCGCGCGCCGCGCGCCAGGCCTCCTTCTCCGCGGACGGCGCGGACCGCTTGCGGTGCTCCACCCTTTCGTGGAGCCAGTCGTGCGCGACGTGCTCGCGCTCCACGGCCTGCTCGTAGCACTTCGCGACGCCCTCCCAGGCCGTCGTCTTGCCCGTCTTGTCGTCGATGTCCTTGTATAAGGCGAAGCCCCCGAGGCCCGGCAAGGCGTAGTACGACGCGAACGCCTTGTAGATGCCCGGGCCGACGCGCTCGTGGGACCCGTGCTCGCAGCGCGGCTCCGCTAACGCCGCGTCGAGGAGCGCGTGGGTCTTCTCCGCGCTGCGCAGGAGCTCCATGTCGTCGAGCGCCGCCTTGAGCGTCACGGGCCTCGCGTTCGGCGGCGCGCCCGGCGGGACGACGACGAGGGGCTCCTGGCAGCCCCGCCGCGAGTTGCAGAGCGCGCAGATGGGCTTGCCGCCGATGGCCGTGCGCGGGAAGCCCGGCGGCGGCCGCCCGGGGAGCCGCGGGATCACGAGCGCGGGGCGGATGGAGTAGAGCTTGCGGATGAACCGCACCTTGGCCTCGCCGTGGCCGAGGCCCAGGAGCTTGTGCCAGGGGAACCAGAGGCTCCGGCTCCGCGGGTCGTGGGGCTGGGGCTCGTCGCAGTCGCCGTGCGTCGCCTGGAGCCAGAGCGCGCGGACCTCCGCGACGCGGTGCGGCGGCCGCTGGGTGAATTCCCGCCAGTTCCGCCCGCAGGCCTCGAAGAGCTCGTCGCGCGTCTCGACGTCGTTGAGCGCGGCGCCGATCTTCGGCGCGAGGCCGAAGCGCATCGTCCCGTCGTAGGGCGACGGCACGTGGTTCCGGAAGGCCTCCTCGGCCATGGCCGTCGCGGCCTCGCGCCGCGACTCGCGGAGCAGCGCGAAGACCGCGGCCTCGCCGCCGAAGCTCCGCGCCTCCTCCGTGCCCACGGCGACCATGCCCGCGCTCGGCCGGCCCTCGGGGCCGAAGTCGTCGACGCGGGCGACCTTGAAGCCGCTGCGCCCCGCCGCGGGGAAGGCCACCTGGCCATGCGTCGGATCCGACCGCAGGAGCGCCGGGCCCCGGTCCTCGGGCACGACGCGCTCCGTGGCGCCGAAGACGACGTCCGGCTGCGTCAAGATGACGGACATGGTCGGGCGTGTTCTGGGGGCAGCCTACGACGCCGCCCCGGGCGCACCCCAGACTGTGAGCGCTGGCGCGCGGCACCTTGAACTACCCGTTGCACGGCCGTAACGGACCTCGCACCGTTACGGGCGCGACGTTCGCGGCGGTCCCTAGAGCTGGAGGCTGGTCTGGAGGTCCTCGTAGGCCTTGGTCTGGGCGTTCTGCGTCGCCTTGAGGCGCTCCATGAGGCGGTGCTCGTGGAGGGTCATCTCCTGGATGAGGCGCTCGGCCTCGACGGCGCGCGTGGACTCGAGCTGGATCTGCTTGGCGTACTCCTCCTTGCGGCGGCGGTCCTCGGCGGCCCGGAGCTCGTCGCGCTTCGCCTTGGCGTCGGCTCGCCGCGCGAGGGCCTGGGCGTTGAGGCCCTTGTTCTTCTGCACGAGGCCGGCCATCTCGCGCTCGTGGAAGCTGTTGAGCTCGGCCATCTTCGACTTCATGCGCATGGCGTGGTCCCGGCGCTGCTGGGCGACGCCGGCGCGCGACTCGCGCACGTGTCGTCGCGTCGTCTGGCGCGTGAGCGTCACGGCCTTGCGCGTCGCGGAGATGGAGAGCTCGCGCTCCGTGTGCAATTTCTGCTTCGACGACTGGTACTCGAGGTTGCGCTGCTTCAGGTGCACGATCTCCGACGTCCGCGCCTTGGTCTCGGCGATCTTCTTCTTCGCGCGGTCCTCGGCGACCTGGAGGTGCTGGAGCCGGTTTGCCAATAACTTCATGTCCGCCTCCGCGCGGATGCGGTGGTTCTTCGCGTCGCACATGAGGGACACGCCCGACGCCTCGGGCCAGACGTGGCGCGCGCTGCTGTTCATGAGGTCCGACTCCTGGCGCGAGCTCAGCGCCACGGACGCCTGCTTCGCGTCGGCCTCGGTCGCCTTCGCGTCGGCGGCGGACGCGGCGTCGTCGGGGCCCGCGGTCTTCACCTCGACGGACATGGACGGCGCCGCGTCCTTGGCCTCGGAGCCGCCCTTGGCCTCGGCGGCGCTCGCCGGCGCGTCGGCGAAGAGCACGCCGCGGGCGTCGTCCTTGCTCTGCGACGTCTCTGCGGGCAGCTCCTCGTCGGTCAGGATCGTCGGCGCGGCCTTGGCGCCCTCCAGCGCCGCGCCGGCCTCGGCCGCCGCCTTCATGTCCACGTCGGCGTCGCCCATGGGTCGAGACGTACCGGGCACCGACGCCGGCCGCGGCGCCTCGATCGAAGTCCGGGCAGCGTTGGGCGGGCTGCGGGCGCGGATACGTGAAAGTTCAAGAGCTCGCGTTGAAGAAGTAAACACATCACGATGGCTCTGCCGTGAGGCAGGCCCAAGCGATGCGCCTGCGCAACCAGTTCATCTGGCTCGTTGCCGCGGGCGGCGCCGTCGTCGGCGTCCGATGGCTGCTGGAGCGGCCGGTGCGCTGCGGCGCGAGCGCGCTCGTGCCGGAGGCTGCTCTGGAGGCTGCTCTGGAGGCTGCGCCGCTGCCCGCCGCGCCTCCGGCCGCAGCAGCGCCGCCCGCGACGCCGCGCCGCCGCCGCGCGGGCATCCTCTACCTGCGCATCACGAGCGCCACGGAGGCGACGCGGGCCGGCACGTCGCCCTGGCCCCAGTGGCTGCCGGCCGTCGAGGCGTCGGCCGCGGCGAACGCGGACGAGGTGGCCTACTACTTCGCGGGCCCGGCGACGAACTTCTCCTGCCCGAACTGCGTCTCCATCCCGACGGACCTCGACGCGCTCCTCGGCCGCGTCGAGGCGCACCTCGGCGTCGACCGGGCCAAAGTGTCGGTGAAATCCCTCAAGCACAAGATCTGCGACCTCAAGCCCATGTGGCCCACGCTGTTCCCCGAGGTCGCGGCGGCCCACGAGTTCGTCGGCTACGCGGACCTCGACGTCATCTTCGGCGACCTCGCGGCGGAGGTCCGCGCGCTCCGGGACGGCGACGATCTGTTGGTCCCGAGCTCGTGGTACCCGGCGCCGCTCGCGAACGGCAACTTCCTGCTCTTCCGGTCCGAGCGGCGCGTCCTGGACATCTTCCGGCGCCACGCGGGCTGGCGGGAGGCGCTCACGACGCCGGGCTACGACGTCTACGACGAGTGGCACGGGAAGGCGCCCGAGCGGACGTTCATGCACGCGCTCCTCGAGGAGCACCTCAACGGGCGGCTCCGGCCGCGGCCGACGGCGCGCCTCTTCCTCCAGGACGTCGTCGGCCCGCGGAACCTCTGGGACCGGCCCGCGAGCGTCCGCGTGCGCTGGGAGCGCGGCGCGCTGACCGCGGCGTACGACGGGCCGTGCGTCTGCGCCAAGGACATGGTCCCCCAGTTCTCCATCGCCCAGTGCGCCCAGTGCGTGCGGCGGCCCGGGGAGAAGCTCGAAGACGTCGTCGTGACGCGCGAGCTCGAGGTGCTGGCCTACCACATGCTCTCCGCGAAGTTCCACGTCCGCGACGTCGAGCCGCGGCTCGCGAACTGCTCCCGCTTCGACCTCACGAAGGCCGACGACAGCCTCAAGCACACGTTCGCCTGCCGATGACACAAGAAGCAGCACTTAAGTAGTCGTCGGGATCCGTGAACGCGTCGTCGGAGTCGGACGCGAAGTCGTCGGAGTCGTCGAAGTCGGACATGCTGAAGTGGTCCTCCTCGACGTCGCCGCCGAGGTCGTCGTCGTCGCCGTCGTCGCGGCGGCTCGCTGACTTGGCGAGGATGCGGTCCAGGGGGAAGTGGTAGTCCACGCGCTCGCCCTGGTGGATCAAATCGTCGTCGTCGTCGTCCGCGACCCACGTCCGCCGGAGGCCCGGGCAGAGCAGGTCCACGACCGCCGAGTCGTCCAGCTCCGAAATGGCCCAGAGCCGCGCGTCGACGACGCGGCCCCGGCCCAGGTCCACGCGCACGAGGTCGCCCTCGACGGGGAAGACCGGCAGCAGCCGCTCGACGGAGACGTGGCGCGGCGCCGCGTCGCTGACCTCGGCCCACTCGAAGCGGTCGTTGACGACGCGCGTCGTCACGACGCGCACGCGGCCCGACGGCAGGAAGCCCAGCAGCTTCGCGACGACGTCCGCGGACAGGGAGGCTAAACCGCGGTGCCGAGCGGCGCCGGCGGACGCGAGGCCGCGGTGCCGCGCGCGGCAGAGGCACAGGGTCCGCGCCGCGCGCTTCGTCGCGCCGCCGCAGGACGCGTGGATGCGCGGCGCCCAGGGCTCCGCGCGGCGGAAGGGCCGCTCGACGCGGACGCGCGTCGCGCTGAGGCCCTCGACGTGCGCCTCCGCGCCGTCGACGCACCACGTCGCGTCGATGTGGCGCAGGCGCCGCCGGCTCTCGGCCTTGCGCCGCAGGAGCCACTGCCACGTGTTCGCCGCGAAGTCGCCCTCGGACGCGTCGTCGGAGCCGTCGTCGGCCGCGCTCGGCGCCTGGAGCGGCGCTTCCTGGCGTCGGCGCCAGATCTGCCGCCGCCTCCGCGCCCGCGCGTAGGCCGCGCGCATGCGCTTCCGCGAGGCGCGGACCATAGCGGCGCTCTGGCCGTAGCGAGTCCCGAGGGCTCAGAATTCAGGCCCGAGCCATCGTTGAAGGAGGGCGCGGCCCATCGTGCCGCCGCACCTCTCCCGGCCGCCCATGAGCATGTTGGCAATGTTGCCGCCCATGAGCGCGCCGCCGTGAGCCGTGCGAGCTCAAATTGTGGCGCCGCCGTGAGCCGTGCGAGCGCGCGCGCGCCGCCAAAGACCTCACACATCGCCATGTTCGTTGATTTCGACAACCTGGGCATGCTGCCGCTGGACATGGACGACGAGTTGCGGCCGCGCGCGCCGCCGTCGGCGTCGTCGTCGCAGGACTCCCGGGAGGACTTTGAGATCGTCGCGGAGCGGTGCGACGACGACGCGCCGGCCGCGGAGATGCGCGGCTTCGCCGGCTGGTGCGACCGCGGCACCGTCGCGCGCGCGCGGCGCGGCGCGTTCGAGGGCGCGGTGCACGAGCACGATCCAGCCGACAAGTTCTGGAACCTGCGGCGCTGGGCGCTGCGGCCCGCCGTGCTTTTGTACGGCTACGAGCCGCACCGCGGGGACGCGCCCGTGTCGGTGACGGACCTCGGCGGCTTCGAGGCATTGGCGGAGGGCCCCGCGGAGCTCCGGTTCGCGCCGCGCGCGGCCGGCGAGCCGGACGTGCGCGCGCGGTTCACGACGAGCGACGACGTCGACCGCTTCCGCGCGAGCCTCGCGGATCTGGATGTTGTGGCCCAGGGCGACGCGCGGCGCCGCGCCGAGGCCGCGGTCGAGGCCGCGGAGTCGGAGCTCGGGGATTTGCGGGCGCGCGTCCGGGACCTCGAGGCGGAGGCGGCGGCGCGGGACCGCGACGCGCGGCTCGGCGAGGAGCGCGCGGAGGCTTTGGCGGCCGCGCTGCACGCCGTGCGCGGCGCCGCGGAGGGCCACCGGTCGACGCTCGCGTCGACGGTTTCGCGGCCGCGCGAGGTCTCGGAGGCCGTTCTGCGGGAGCTCGCGCGGCTCCGCGACGCCGGCGCGGCGTCCGCCGCCGCCGCGGCGGCCCTCGCGCGCGAGCGCGACGCCGCGGCGGCGGCCGCCGCGCGGCGCGTCGAGGCCGCGGCCGCGGACGCCGCCGCCGCGCGCCGCGACCGCGACGCCGCGCGGCGCGCCCTCGACGCGGACCGCTGCGACGCGGAGCTGCAGACGGCCTCGCGCCAGGCCGCGGACCGCGCCGAGGCGAAGCGGCGGCGGCAGGAGAAGAAGCTCCTCGTCGACGCCGTGCGGGACCTCCGGCGGCGGCTCCGGCGCCTGTCGGACGCGGAGCGGCACCGCGACTCCGTGGCGCAGTTCTGGGGGCCCGACGGCGCGCCCGACGGCGGCGTGCCGCCGCCGCCGCCGGAGGAGGAGGAGGAGGACGGCGACGCCGACGACTGGCTCGGGGCCTACCTCCGCGCGGCGGACGACGCGCCCGACTCGGAGGAGGAGGAGGAGAAGCCCGCTCTCCGGGTCCGGGACCTCGCCGAGGGCACGGTGCAGCCGGGGCGGCCCCCGAGCATCCCGCCCGCGCCGGCGCCGGCGCCCGCGAAGAAGCGCAGGGACCGCCGCTCCCAGGCGTCGAAGGACTTCTCCAAGGCCCTCGACCTCGTCAAGGCGAAGGCCGTCCGCGCGCGCGCGACGCTCGCGCAGGCCGCCGCGCGCCCCGCGCCCGACCCCGACGAGGTGGAGGCGATCTAATACGAAGACTTACTTGAGCCGTCGCACCTCCGCGAAGCACCTGCGCGGCGCGCGGAGATCAAGCGACTGTATATGCCGTTCCACCACGCGAAAGAACGGTTGCGGACGAACTGGAGAGCGGCTCGTCTCCACTCGGCGGTTTCGGCGCAAGACACCCGGCGGTTTCGGCGCGGCGCCGCGCTTCTTCATTGCGGCGAATTCCCGCGCGCACGCGTCGCGCTCGAGCGCGCCGTCGGCGATCTTCTCGCGGACGCAGGCGCCGTAGGCGGCGACCTGTCGAGGGTTGACGTGTCTTTTGGCAGTTAGCGGGCGCGGCGCTCACCGTCTTGGGACATCGGCCCATCATCTTCGCAAAGGCGGCGCCGAGCCTGCGCGGCGGCGGCTGTTTTGCTTTCCGCGGCGTTGCTGCGGCACAAGCGCACCTCCTGCCTTCCGTTTTGCTCGTCATCTGTGCAGCGTCCGCGCAGCGATGGATGGCAAAAGCTCCAGCTCACTGCCTCATGCCCTTGTGGCAGAGACGGTGTCGCCAACGTCGGCTCGACCGCCGCCGCGAGCTCGAGCGCCGTCGCGCCATGGACCACCTCATGGCCGCCTACGGGTCCGAGAGCGAGGCCGGCGGCGACACGCCGCTGGCCGTCACCACCGGCGACGGCGAGGAGGCCGCCTACGACCCCTTCGCCGTCGCGGAGGACGCGCCCGACGGCGACGACGGCGACGAGGCCGGCTCGAGCTCCGCGGCGCCGGACGCTTCCGACGCCCAGCCCCCGGCGGCGAAGAAGCCGAGATACACCCGCCTCGAGTGCCCGCCGGGCGAGCTGCCGCCGCCGCCGCCCGGCGACTGCGACCCGGAGCTCGAGGCGAGGCTCGCCGGCTACCGCGCGAAGAACCTCAACCCGACGCAGCAGATCCGGGCGAACCGCGACTTCAACAACCCCATGCTCCTCCAGAAGATCGTCGACTACTACGGCATCGACGACGTCGCGTCGAACTACCCGACGTCGGTCTTCGACCCGGCGGCGATCGTCGCGCGGCGGTCCCGGGACAAGTCGAAGAAGGACGAGCCGGCGCCGGCGGCGTCGCGGTCGAACTCGCCGCGGCCCGACGAGCCCGGCGCGAAGGACTGAGTCGTAACGGCGGGGGGATGGGAAAATCGTGCGGCGGTCCTAGAAGCGCTCCATGGGGTCGATGGAGCCGACGAAGGCCTTGTAGTCGAAGAAGTCCTTGCCGACGGGGTGGAGGCCCTCGGGCACCTTGAACGCCTTGAAGAGCAGGTCGTTGTCCGTCGCCGTCGTCTTGAGCTGCATCTTGTCCATGACGGCCGCGAGCTGCTCCTTGCTGCAGCAGAGCCGGTTGTGCTTGTCGTAGTCCTGGAAGGAGGGTTTGAGGTGGAGGCGCCGCTCGGCGATGATGGTCCGGAGCTTGCCGAGCAGGGTCAGCAGCTGGGGGTCGCTCTCGCAGTGGTTCGCGCTCTCGATGGACGCGGGCGTGTGCTCGACGGGCCCCGCGTAGTGCGAGTTCTCCAAGGCCGTCACGAACGCGCGCCAGTTGATGCAGTCGCTGTGCTTCGAGGACTGGAAGCGCTTCGTCAGCGCCACGAGCGTCGCCTCGGTGAGCGTCAGGCCCGCGCGGCCCAGCGCGGACTTGAACCGCGCGATGGAGATCTCGCCGGATCGGAGCTTGTCGCCGTCCGTGAGGAAGTCCTGGAGCCGCGCGCGCCGCGCGGCGAGCTGGGACACCAGGTCGTCGATGACCGCGACGACGTCGACGACGGGCAAAGCGACGGACTTCTTGAGCCGCTTGCCCGTGGGGAACTCCTTCTGCTTGTCGCTGTGCGTGCCCGAGAAGCCGTGGGATCCCACGGACCCGATCAACGACAAAAACTTGTCGTAGTTGATGTCCGCGCTGCTCAGCGTGTCCCGCGAGTGGGACGCGACCGCCGCGAGGGAGAAGGGCGGCTTGTCGACGCACGACGCGACCAGCGCCGCGAGCTCGTCCGCGGACATCTCGCCTAGCAAGCCGACCATGGACAGCACGCGGCGGAAGTGGGTCTCGCGCACGCGGCCCGAGTTCGCCTTGTCGAAGTCCTCGAAGAAGGGCTGCATCTCCAGGCCCTGGACCTTGACGATGTGCGACAGCCGCGCGATCGCCGGCTGCGCGGCGTCCAATACGTCGTCCGTCGCGCCCGCGGTCAGCGACATGACCGTGGCGTCGTTCAGATCCTCGCCCGCGCGCGCCGCCGCCGTCTCCGCGGCGACGTCGGCCATGGGCCGCTTCTCCAGGCCCTCCGGCACGAAGACGCGGTCGACGTCCGTCACGAACTCGACCCATTTCACGAACGGCATGCCGTGCGTGTCCAGCGCGCCGCCGACGGCCGTGTAGGCGTCGCTCAACACCTCCGCCTCCTCGGCGGACACGATGCCGTCGACGGCGGCGCGCAGGCCCCGGTAGAACTGGGACCGCGTGACGACGCCGCGGTGCAACGGGTCGTCGTCGCGGAAGAACTCCTTGAGGCGCACGCCTGTGTGGAAATCAAATCTTCAACCCGACTTCAATGCGCGCGTAATCGACCGTTTCGACGCGAGGCTTTCTGCTGTGCTTCGAGAACTCGACGGGAGCAATCGATCCGTCCAAAAATCAGCCGAATCGACTTCGATTTGACGGAGCTAGAGAGTTCTGAAGTTTGGTGGGGACCCCCCAAACCAGTGGTTGATTTCCACACAGGCGGACGCGGTTCTGGAGCACCTTCTGGCGCACGTGCTGGAGGAGCACGGGCGCCGGGCGCAGCGGCGGCACGTCCATCTCGCCCGTGGTTGATGTCGTGAGCGACGGCAGCGACGCGGACATGGCCCTGGGGAAGCCCGTGGACCCGGGCGCGTCCGCGAGCGGGCTCGGCGCGGCCTCGTCCGCGGGGCCCAGGGGCTTGTCCGTGACGTCGCCGAGGAAGCTCCGGTAGTTGACGTAGTGGTCCGCCGGGTGGCGGCCGTCCTGCGCCGCGTACGCGGCGAGCAAAGCCTTGAGCTTCGCGCGCGTGTCCGGCAGGAGGCCAAACTGCGCGAGCACGCGCTCGAACTGGTCTCGGGTGACGTGCTCGTTGCGCCGCGGGTCGAAGTCCTGGAACGTGGGCACGAGGAGCACGCGGCGCTTCTTGATCTTGTCGCGGATCTCGAAGAGGATGGCCTCGAGGCCCGACGAGGGCTTCGCGCACCAGCGCACGCTCGACGCCTCCTTCTCCGGGCCGCACAGGTCTGCCATGATGCCCTCGATGGCGTCCACGAAGGACCGCCAGGAGACGACGTCCGGCGCCGCGCGGTACTTCTCCGCGAGCGCGCCGACGGCCGCCGGCGACAGCTTCGTCGTGAACGTCCGCCGGAGGCCCTGGACGAACTTGGGCTCGGGGCACGTGCCGTGGCGCAGGGGGTCGAAATCCAGGAAGAACTCGGCGAGGCGGATGCGCCGCTCCGACACCTGGAGCGCGAGCTTGCGCTCCAGCCCCGCGAGCTCGCCGTCGCGGTCCTCGGCCCAGACCCTATAATCCTCCGCGTTCGCGTTCAGCCGTCCGGAAATGGACTTGGCGCGCCCGACCTCGCCGGCCTTGGGCGTGCCGATGTTGAAGGTCGACACGTGGCCCACGCCCAAAGCCTCGACGTCGGCCTGGAGCGCGCGGAAGTGGACGCCCTGGGGGACGGCGTAGGCGGACGCGAGCTGCTCCGCGGTCGTGTTCGTCATGCGCCGGTGGAGCCGGTGGACGTTGCGCATGAACTCCGCCCGCGTGATGCAGCCGTCGTTGTTGTGGTCGAAGTCGACGAAGAAGTCCTTGATGACGACGCCCGACGCGGAGACCGACCGGCCCAGAGCCAGCAGCGTCTGCCGCAGCGCCGCGATGGCCGCGTCGTCGAGGCGCGGGTGGCGCAGGCCGATGCGCGAGTAGTAGATGGGCTCGTCGTCGAGCGCGAGCTTCACGGGGCTCAGGGGCGTCTTCTGGAGGCCCTTGATCGTGAAGACCTCGTCGACGTCGTCGCAGAAATCCGCGTAGCGCACCTTGCCCGGGTCCGAGGCGCTCGTGTAGTCGCCGACGAGGGCGTAGAGCTCGTCCTCGCCCACCGTCGCCATCTCCCGCGTCACGCCGCTCATGTCGAGCGCCCGCCGGAACTGGGCCGGCGTGCAGTGCTTCTTGCCCGTCGAGTCGAAGCTCAGGAAGAACTCGATGAGCCGCACGCGCCGCTGGCGCACGATGAGCCGGATTTTGTCCACGACCGCGCCGCTCGACAGCGCCATCGTCCCTGGTGGTGCGCCGGACGCGCGCGGGCAGCCGACGCTCTCCCTAGCAGCCCGAGCCCGTCGCGTTAAAGCGTGGGTGGGTGCGGATGCTGCGTATCCGCATGCTGCCGTTCAATGTCTGCTCGGGCAGCACTATGGTCGAGCTGGAAGCGGAGCCGGGCAAGGAGCTGAGCGAGGCGCAAAAGATCCAGCATCTCGAGAATCTCCGTAAGAACCTTGTAGCCCAGGCGGAGGAGAAGCGCCTCGCATCAGTGAAGGCGGCACTGGATGAGCACCAAGCGGCGGAACAGGAGCGCCGTCTTGATCTACAGCGCAGGCTTGGGCACGCGGTCACAAAGGGTCTGTTTTGGTTAGCCAAGGAAGCTCTTGACGAAGGAGCCGACCCAAATCTCGGGCCGCAGCGTGACGACGAAGAAGATGTCGCGTTCGAAACCTTACCGCTGCACGTCGCGTCCACCGAGGAGCATTTGAAGGTGCTCGAGCTCCTTCTCGAGAGAGGCGCCGACGCCGAGACCGTCCCGAGCCACCTCACGTTCGCGTTGCATCGTATGCTGGAAAAGGTTCGCCCGCCAGCTTCGTTCGCTCCGAAGAAAGCGAAGTGTCGCACTCGGATCGTGATGCTGCTCATCGCTCACGGTGCGGACGCGAACAGGGTGGGAATGGATCCCGGATTTGGCTTTGAGATGGCTACCGGTCTCGAGATGTGCGCGCGCCGCGGACGGGTCGACGCGGTCAAATTCCTCCTCGTGAACGGAGCCCGCGCCGACGACAGACTGAACGGGCCGAAAGCTCTCGTCGCGTGTATGTACGCACTCTCGGCGCCGCCAAATTTGAACAAGTATTTCTGGGAAGATCCGTTTACATGTCGTGCCGACCACATGGGCGTCGCGCGGCTGCTTCTCGCGCACGGCTGCGATCCGACGCGCGTCGTCGACAAGAAAGTTGACACGCTGCGGCACCCCCCCACCTTCATCGACACGTCGCGCGACAGCGGTTCGACCGTGCGCTGCATCGCGAGGTCGCGGGGAGACTTTCAGGAGTTCGCGGAACTCTTCGACGAGCACCCGCGCGTGCAGAAAAAGCTCGCGCGGCGCCGGTGTGGAAATTGTCAGGGCGAGGCACCGCTCGTCGTCTCGCCGTTCCAGCTCTGCGCCGGGTGCGAATCTGTTAGCTATTGCTCTCGCGACTGCCAGAAAGCCCATTGGCGTCGGACTCATCGGTTGACCTGTAGATTCTTTCGAAAGGCGAAGAGCGTCGATCGAAAATTTCTCGGTTTGGCAAAGGCAGTTGATGACTTCGCGATCTTAAATCCACAGATTCCCGGAGTGGAGCTGAATTTCACCAACAGCCAAACTGGGGAAGTGGCGATCGCCCATCGAGATTATATGAACCCTGAGAGCACCCGCGACGCGATCACGGCGTTCATGGCGAGCTGGGCGACTGGCGCCGGGTACGCGGGTAGCTTCGTCAGGGAGCCTAACGGTGATGTGTAGTGGATTAGTCCCCCGAGAAGCCGAGGACGTCCCCCTCGAGGATGGCCGACAGGATCCGCGCGAGGACCGCGACGTCCGAGTAGGCCGGCAGGTCGAGGCGGTTGAAGCACGTGTGGGCCACGGGGAAGGCCTTGTCGCCGCCGGGCCGGCGGCGCAGCTCGAAGCCCTTCGTGACGCCGTCGCGGCCCTGGAGGTTCGCGAAGCCGCCCGCGGGCAACCGGCTCGTGCCCGTGACGAACTGGAGGAGCTTCGCGCGCTTCTCGTCGGGCAGGCCCGCGACAAAACTCCAAAAATTCGCCACGGCCGGGTCGTCGTCGTCGTAGCCCTGGGAGTACTCCGTGTGCGCGCGCCAGTCGCCGACGTCGACGTCGTCCAAGCCCGCGATCGCGAGTTCTAAATCCCCCGGGTCGAAGGCCGCCGCGTTGAGCGCCGCCAGGGGCAGCACCTCGTAGAAGCCCTTGAGGAACTTGCCCAACGGCTTGGAGACGACGTCGAGCATGGCGAACTTGAAGAGCCGCGCGACGTACTCGTCCTTGTTCGACGCGTCGACGTCGCGGTCCGCGCCGCCCGGCCCCAGGTCCACGGCCCTGGCGCAGTCGCGGTCCCGGTAGGAGAACGTGAGGCACAGCGCCTCGGCGTCGGACGAGTCGGCGACGTGGCGGCAGGAGCGGTAGAGCAGCGCGTCGACGTACTCGAGGTCGGAGAACGTCACGGGCATGGCCAGCAGATGCTTGAGCATGGGCCGGTTGAGGTGCGCGGGGATGGTCTGGCCGTCGAACAGAGCCTTGGCGACGAGGCGCCCGGCGACCCGATAGTGCTTGGCGTCCTCGGGCGAAAAGGCCGCCGGGTCGCGCGGCGGCCGGATCTGGAGCGTCACGTTATCCGTCGCCGCGAAGCGCCAGTACTTGGACTCGGGGTCCAAGACGCCCGCGGCGATGAGCGCCCAGCACTCGCGCGCCAGACCCCCGGCGTCCATGCCCGGCTCATCCGCAATGTCGAAGCGCCACGTCTTCCAGAAGTCGCGCGCCGGCAGCGCCGCCGCCAAATCCAGCGCGTCCCGCGCCGCCGTCTCCCGCCGCAAGATCACCTGGATGTGGCCGTCCTCCCAGGGCACGGCCAGGCTCTGGCAGGCCGCCTTGAGCACGCCGAGCTTCGACGACAGCGGCACGCGCGGCGCGCGGCGCGGCCTGTCCGGCGACGTCGCCGCGGGCGCCACGAGCACGCGCCGCCGGCCGCCCTCGTCGCGGAAGCGCTGCACCAACCCTTCCACGTCGCCCGCGGCCGTCGCGACGCGCACGGCGACCATGGGCGCTTCCTCGTCCGCCGGCGGCCGCCCGAGGAACGCGTCGCCGACCTGCAACCGCGGCGCGCCGGCCGCGGGCCGGCCCGCGTCGTCCGGCCGGAAGACGCCGAGGCCGAACTTGCCGCAGCTCAGCACGGCGTAGGGCACCCAGCCATCCTCTCCTGGCGGCGCGAGCTCCGTCCCGTCCCACTGCACGCGGCCGCGCGACGTCAGGTTCCGCAAAAAGCTCAACCGCCGGACGTCGTTCTTCAGCAGCGCCTCGCCGCCGTCGGCGGCGACGTCGCCGTCGGAGGAGTCGTCGTCGCTCGCCGACGTGAGGTCGTCGTGGGCCGACGCCACCAAACTGCCGGACCGCGGCCGCGCGCCCTCGAAGACCGGGTGCTCGCGGCGGATCGACACCTCGACCTCGTCTCCGGTCAGCGGCGCGTCGTCGAAGCCCAGGATCTCGCGCCACGTGTTGCGCACGGCGTCGAGCGCGAGCTCGCCGTCCACGACGCGCTGGCGCGTCTCCGCGCCGCCGCGCCGGTCCAGCATGCCCAGCCGCACGGCCTCGGCCAACAAGGCCTCGAGCTCGGCCATGGGCGCCAGGTCCGGCAGCGGCGGCGGCTCGCTCGGGGCGTCGCGGGCCGCCTCGACGTCGCGCGACCGGCCGCAGCCCATCTCCTTTGGGGTTGCCTTACGAGTTGCTCCTGGTGATGTCCATCGAGGCCGAGGTGACTCTCCCACGAAGGTTGACCTTGTGGAGAAAGTTGTGGTAAAATCGCTCAAATTGAGGTCGACATAGCCTGCCAAGAGCCACGCACGATGGCCGCGCCGCCGGCGGACCTCCTCGCCGTCTTCGAGACATGGGTCGCGCAGAAGCCGACGGCGCTCGTCCACACCTTTCTCGAGGGCGACGGCAGCGAGAGCGACAGCTACACCATGGGCCAGCTCAATCAGGCCACGAACGGCGTCGCGGCGCTGATCGCGGCCAAGGTCAAGCCCGGCGAGCGCGCGCTGCTCTGCTACCCGCCGGGCCTCGACTTCTTAGTCGCCTTCTACGGCTGCCTCAAGGCCGGCGTCGTCGCCGTGCCCGTCTTCCCGCCGGACCCGCGGAAACTCGGAGGCCCCGAGGCCGACGCGTTCGCGTCGATCCGGACGTCGAGCGGCGCCGCCGTCGCGCTGAGCACGCTGTCCTACATCAAGAACAAGGGTCTGGCGCGCTCCCTGCGCGGCTTCAAGAGCCTCCAGCAGGACGTCGCGAAGTGCGCGGATCTGGACGAGGCGTGCGAGTGGGTCGCGACGGATTCGGCCCCGGGCGCCGCGGTGCCGCCCATGGTCAAGGCCGGCGACCTCGCCTTCCTCCAGTACACGTCCGGGTCCACGAGCGAGCCCAAGGGCGTCATGATCGCGCGGGCGAACCTCGCGCACAACCTGCGCGGCATCACCGACGCGCTGCGATCCGACGAGACGACGGTCTGCGTCTCGTGGCTGCCCCAGTACCACGACATGGGCCTCATCGGCTCCTACCTCGGCACGCTCTACTGCGGCGGCAAGGGCTACCACTCGTCGCCGTTGGACTTTGTGCGCGACCCGACGCGCTGGGTCCGGGACATGACCAAATACGGCGCGACGCACGTCCAAGCGCCGTCGTTCGCCTACGGCCTCGTCGCGCGCAAGTTCCTCGAGAGCGACAAGAAGCCGAAGGTGGACCTGAGCGCCCTCGTCCACGCCATCAACGCCGCGGAGCCCGTGCGAGCCTGCGACGTGGACGCGTTCAGAGCGGCCTTCGCGGACCACGGTTTAAAGCCCGGAGTCATCTTCCCGACGTACGGCCTCGCGGAGCACACGGTCTTCGTCTGCACGAACGGCACGCAGCGCGTCGACTTTGACGCCGACGCTCTCGAGCACGGCCGGGCGGCCGTCGGCGGCGCGCGGACGACGACGCTCTTCGGCTGCGGCGCGCCGCCGGGCGAGGTCGCGATCGTCGAGGACGGCGGCGCGGCCGCGGCCGACGGCGCCGTCGGCGAGATCTGGCTCCGGAGCCCGTCGCGGGCGCGGGGCTACTGGAAGTGCCCGGAGAAGTCGGCCGCGGATTTCGGCGCGTCGCGGCCGGGCGACGCCGCGGCGACGTTCGTGCCCGGGCGCGCGCGCTTCGGCGACGTCGAACCCGCGGGCTGGCTGCGCACGGGCGACCTCGGCTTCTTCCACGAGGGGGAGCTCTTCGTGTGCGGGCGCCTGAAGGACCTGCTCATCGTGCGCGGCAAGAACCACTACCCGCAGGACCTGGAAAAGACGTGGGAGGACGCGGCGCGCGGCGCGTTCCGCCCGGGCTGCAGCGCGGCCGTGGCCTGCGCCGGCGACGACGGCGCCGAGGGCATCCAATTCTTGTGCGAGACGTCCGGCCGGGGCGACGCCGCCGCGGCGGCGGCGGACGCCGCGCGCGCGGTCGCGGACCGCCACGGCGTCGAGGTGACCCGCGCGACGGTCGTCGCCGCGCGGACCGCGCCGAAGACGACGTCGGGCAAGATCGCGCGCAAGTGGTGCGCCAAGGCCCTCGCCGGCGGCGACCTGGACGTCGTGTACGTCTTCAACGGCGGCGGAAAGGCGCCGCTGCCAAAGCGGAAAGGCGACGCGAAGGCGACGGACTGCATCAAGACGATGAGCCCGGAGGTCCGCGCGGAGAAGCTCGCGGCGTTGGCGGCCATGGCCGACGGCGATTTGCTGAACTCCGTCGTCGCGCTGGCCGCGGGCGTCATGAAGGTCCAGCCGGGCGACCTCGACGTCGACGGGCCCGTCGCGGCGCTCGGGCTCGGGTCCATGGAGGGCCTCCACCTCCTGACGGTCATCGAGGAGGCCCACGGCTGCGCGCCGGACGCGGAGCTGCTCGCGGACGTCGACATGACGCTGCGGACCCTGTGCAGCGTGCTGAAGCGCGGGGGCAAGGCGGGGCCGCGCGCGAAGATCGTCGACGGCGCGAAGCTGGCCAAGGAGCTGGAGGAGGCGGACCTCGCCTTCGCCGGCGCGGCGAAGCGCATCGCGTCGAAGCGCAAGGACCGGGACCGGCGCTGCACGCTCGCCCGGGCCCACCTCGCGACGGGGGCGTTGGCGTGCAAGCCCGCGGCGCCGGGCGGGCGCCTCGCCGCGTTGGTCGACAAGGGCCCCGCGGCCGTCCTCGTCGCCTTCGCGGCGTCCGTCGTCCTTGTGCTCGCGTTCCTGGCTTGTTGCGCCGTCGGCCCCGCGGCGACGATGGGCATTTTGCTGGCGACGCCGGTCTGGCTCACGACGCGCGGCGCCAAAATCGCCGGCGCGTCGCCGAACATCGACAAGAAGCGGCGGGCCTTCAAGCACCGCTTCCTCGCGTCCATCCACGCGAAGCGGCGCACGCGTGTGTACGTCGCGGACCCCGAGGCGCTGCTCAAGGCGACGACCGCGCTCGTCGTCGTCCGGGCCCACGCGGAGCCGTCGCGGCTCGACCAGCGCGCGTTCCACCTCGCGACGGCGGCGCTGCTGCCGGACGTGCTCGGCGCGCCCGTCGCCGCCCTCGCGGACCGGGACTACCTCGGCGCCGCGGCGCTCCACTTCCTCTTCGACGCCGCGCGCGCGCCCGCGCAGCCCGACGCCGCCGCGCAGCTCCTCTTCGCGAAGAAGCACGCGGCCATCGTCCTCGACGACGCGCGCGCGCCGCTCAAGGACCTGTGCACGCTCGCGGCGACGGCGGGGGCGGCGCTCGTGCCCGCGGCGTCGGCGCTGTCGGCGACGGGCGGCGCGGCCGTCGCGCTGGGGGCGCCCCTCGCCGGCGACCGGGACGCGATCCTCGCCGGCGCGACGGCGGCCCTCGGCGAGCTCGGCGAGACCGCCGCCGGGATGCTCTAAGTTTTGCTGTTTTTTTTTCCATGCGGTCTCACTCCCACGGCATGCCCCACCGTGATCTCTAGGATTCGTTAGTGGTATCGGCGGTTCGCGCTCCGCACCGACGCCGCGCGGAACTCGAGGTCGCGCCGCGACGCCGACTCCGAGAGCGACTCGATGGTCTGGCGCAGGACACGCTGGGCCTCGGCGTCGTCGAGGTCGCCATCCGCCTCGTCGAGGGCGACGGCCGTCTGCCGCTTGAGCACGAGCGGCCGGAGCCGCCGGCCCTCGGCGACGGCGGCCGCGAAGAAGCCGGCCCGGGCGCCGCCGCGGGACAGCGACGGGGGCTCGCTGCGCGCCGTCGCCGGCGCCTCGCCGTCGTCCATGGGCGCCGAGGACGCCGCGTCGGCCGGTTCGCCGAAATCCTTGCGCGGGGCTGCCGCAGCGCCGGCGACGGGGCCGCTGCCGGAGGCGCGCAGGCGCTTGGCCGCGGCGCTGTCGATGGCGTTGGCCGGGAAGGTCCTGAACGCCCGTTTGCGGCCGCCGCGGTAGAAGAAGGTCGTTTGCGTGGAGCGCGGCGACATTACACGTTGCGCGGCTCTCCGTTTCTACGCGCGGAAGCCGCGCCAACAGACAGAGCCGCTGGAGGGGCAGCATCGCAGCCATATCAACCCGTGCTTGCCGCCGTGGCCGGATTGAGGATCGGCATTACGTCTGCCCCGTGCCCCCCGCGTCGCCTTCAGTTCGCCGTTCTGGACGCCCACTTCGTCAATCGAGACCATCGAAGCCTTCGTGCCATGCTTGCCGAGGATGTCGCGCGAAAAAATTGCGGGCGCGCGCGTCGCCGAATCGCTGCTCACCGCTTCGCCGCTTCGCAGGCAATGAAGCTCTCGCTCTTCGCTCTCTTCGCCGGATCCGCCGCGGCTTTTGCGCCGCAGCGCGCCGCGCCCCGATCCGTCGCCATGCGGTCGGATCTCGAGGGCCGCATCGACAAGATCGCCGCTGACGCGAAGACGATGTTGGCGCGTCCGCCGCGTCCGCCGATCGCGCCGCCGCGGCCGCCCTCGGCCCCGCGCGCGCGGCGCGCGCCGGGGCGACGCCGCGCGCCGTCGTGTGCCGGTCGCGCGGCGCGCCGCCCGCCGCGAAGAAGCCGCATCCGCGCGCGGCGGGATCGCTCGACGCCGCCGCCGAACCGCGCGCCCCTCCGCAGGACGACAAGATCAAGTCGACCGGCGGCGCCGGCGCCCCGAGCGCCGCGGGCACGCCCGTGGCCGCGGCCGGCGGCGCGGGCGTCGACGAGCTCGTCAAGAACCTCAAGGACAAGTCCGAGCAGCTCGCCAAGGAGATCAAGGCCGAGATCGGCAAGAACTAGGCCGCCCCACCGCTCGCGCGCGCTAATTCGTGCATCGTCAGAGTGTCGCGCATCGCGCGGTGTCGCCTTATCGGGGACGCCTCTAGGCGGCGTCGTCGTCCTCGAGGCGGGCGACGAGCTCCGCCTTTTTGCCGCCGACCTTGAGGCCGCGCTCCTTGAGGACGGCCTTGAGCTCGGCGACTTTCATGTCGGCGTAGTTCGCGGCGGTCGCCGCTGGTGCGGGGGCGGGGGCGGGGGCGGGCGTCGGCTCGGCGCCGGCCTCGGGCTCCGCCTCGGGCTCCGCCTTGGGCTCGGCGGCGGCCGTCGGCTTCGGCTTCGGCGCGGGCGCCGGCGCGGGCGCGGGCGCGGGCGCGGCCTTCGGCGCGGCGGCGGCCTTGGGCTTCGGCGCGGGCGCCGGCGCGGGCGCGGCGGCGCCGTCGATCGCCTTCGCGAGCTGGCTGGCGACGTCCGCGGGCGCGGCGCCCGCGACGGAGAGCTCGAGCACGCAGCATTTGTCCGGGCCGAGGATGTCGGCGACGGCCTCGGCCGCCGTGCGGCCCGGCGGCGCGCCGGCGCCCGCGGCGGCCGCGCAGCACCACCGCTCGAGGTGGTCGCCGGCGGCCTCGAGGAACAGCGGCGACACGTCGTCGCTCGAGACGCTCGCCGCGTCGACGACGTGCGTCACGGGCGGCTGCGCCGGCAGGCACGCGCGCACGGCCGCGCGGCTCGACGTGTCCGCGACGATCGTCGCCACGGCGCCCTCGCCGTCGGCGAGCGCCGCGGCGAGCGCCTTCGCCATGTCCATGGCGCACGGGCCGCTGGACGCCGGCGCGATGACGACGTGCTTTTGGAGCGGCTTTGCCATCGGCCGCAGCGCGCTGGCTGCGCAGGCGAGCAGGAGCGCGCAGCACGTGTGCCGTCGTGAGTACGCCATAGCTTGCAGCAGATCGCGCTCTCGCACAATTCAGCCCCGGCCAACCAGCCGGGCGCGACGCGCGCGCAGGTAGACCTCCGCAGATTGCGGCGTTGGCATCTGCTGCTTGTGCTGTTGGGGAAATGCGACATGCGCCGGATGTCTCGCGACGGGTGGCTCTCGCAAGCGCCGCGCCGCGCGGCCGCGGACGAGCCGCGACGCCGGGCTGCCGTCGCTCGCCATCGTCGAGCCGCCGCGACCGGCGCACCCTGGCTGGGCTCGCGTACGCCAGTTGGCATATAAGTCGACGCTCGCGCCTCGCCTCTTCAACAAAACTTCAACAAAACGGAGAGTTGCCGCAAGCAAAGGCAATTGCGGCCTCGGTGACCGACCCAGCGTGTGTGCCGGGCATTGACGGCAGATTTTTGACGTCCCGCGACCGCCAGCGCCGCGCCGCCGCCGCCCGCCCGGGCCCCCGACCCGCGCCGCGATCACCCACGAAAGATCCCGAGAAAAAACGCCGCGTTTCACGGGCGGCCGTCGCTGATTCGCGCCGCGCGAATCCATACCGAAAAATAGAAGCTTTTCCACGATGATCGACCCGCCCGGGGACGCGAGCGAGGGCGACACGCCGAAGAGCCTGGACTCCCAGAGCACCCTGGGCGACCCGCCGGCCTACGCGGGCGGCGGCCCCGTGATCGTGCGAACGGAGACGGAGACGACGTTCGTCGAGGAGCTAAGCGAGGCGTCCGGCGAGGACCCCGACGACCCCTACGGGTCCGACGGGGACCACGACCCGCTCCTCGAGTCGGGCCTCGACGAGGTGCCCGTGCTCCTCGACTCGCCCGCGCCCGAGGCGCCCGCGCCGGAGAAGGAGTTCGCGCTCGAGCGCCAGTGCGTCATCTGCCTCGAGGGCCTCGACGGCGACGACGCGGAGGCGGCCGTCGCCGTGCCCTGCGCCTGCCAGAGCCGCCTCGACGCGCCGACGCTCGTCCACGAGGGCTGCCTGCGCCACTGGGTCGGCGCGTGCGCGCAGCGCGCGGCGCGCGGCGGCGGCCCGCCGCCGCCGCCGGGCCCAACGGACGGCGGCTTCTCGCGCCACGCGGCGCGGCCCCCGGCCCACCCGGCCAACGAGGCGCGGGGCGTCGAGGCGGCGGCGGCCCCGGACGCGCCGTCGTCGACGACCTGCCCGCTCTGCCGCGCGCCGCTCTCGAAGGCCGTCGTCCTCGGGCTCATGCTCCCGTCGGCCGCGCGCGGCGCGCTCGAGCGCGACCCGCGGTCCTTCGCGACGGCGCCGCTGGGCGCCGGCGAGCCGACGCTGCGCTGCGTCGTCTCGGTCCTGGACCGGCGCCGCCGCGGGGGCTCCCGCGGCGGGCCCCTGCTCGCTTTACGGGTCCAGGGCTACGGCGCGGGGCCCCTGCTCCTCGCCGCGGCCAAGCGCGCGTCCTCCCGCATGGCGCCGACGTCCCGCCTCGCGCGGCGCTTCGACATCTCCTGCGTCGACGCCGACGGGTCCCTCGAGTCGCCGGGCGCCGTCGTCGCGTCCGTGAACCGGAACGTGCTCGGAACGCGCTGGACGGTCTGCGCGAAGAAAACCGGAAAAACCGGCGCGGTCGTCGACTACGCCGTGAACCGCCTCGCGAACCGGCCCCGGTCCATGCTCGTGCGCGTCGACGACCTCGAGCTGCGGTCGCGCGCGCCGGAGTACAACCCGCGGCTCCAGGGCTTCTGCCTCGACTTCTTCGGCCGCGCGCGCCTCGCGTCCGTGCGCAACTTCCAGCTCGTCGACGGCAACGCCCCGCCCGTGCCCAACGACCCGGACGCCGAAGCCAAGTGCAAGCTCCTCTTCGGCCGCTGGTCCGACGACGAGTTCCACCTCGACGTCAAGCACCCGTTCTCGCCCGCGGACGCGTTCGCCGTCGCCGTCTCCTCCTTCGCGACGAAGCTCGCGACGATCTGAGGCACATCCCACGACCCAAGCACCCATGTGAACTCCGTTAAACCTGTATGCATAGCGTGGGTCGTCCATCATGCTAGCGTGGTCGTCGTGGGTCACTTCGTGGGTCTTAGTACTTTTTCGCGCGTCTTCTTGCTTGCTTCTATCTACATGTTGCGGAGGTCGAGGTGGATGCGGTCCACGTCGACGTCCGGGTGGGCCTTCTCCAGGACCCGCGCGATGATCTCGACGCAGGCCACGGAGCGGATCTTGCCCAGGAGGTCGCCGTAGGCCAGCGTGAGCACCTCGCCGGGCGACGCCTCGGCCGCGTCCACGGCCGCGTCGACGAGCGCCTCGAAGTGGTCGTCCTTGACCACGGCGTCGCGCACGACCGCGTCGCGGCCGTCGAGGTCGAGGTCGCCCGCCTCGTCGCGCGAGTCCTCGAGGAACGCGAACTTGCGCGCGACGCGGCGCTCGCCCTTGCGCTGCTCCGCGCGCCGGTCCGCGTCGCGCCGCGAGCTACCGAGCGTCGACCGGCGCCGCTTCGCCCGCGACTTGGCCTGCTTGACGTCGTCGTCGTCCCAGCCGTCGACGAAGGGGCGGCTCGGCGGCACGGTCCGGAGCATGCCGCAGCGGACGGCGCCGGCCGCGGACACCGCGGGGTGCTGGAGGCACCGCGCGTCGAAGACCTTGAAGGCGTCGGGCTCGTAGCCCTTGCGCTTCTGGTAGGCGAAGGACACGAGGCGGATGCGGCGGAGCTGGGGCTTGGCGGCGACCGCGGCCGCCGCGCGGTGCGCGGCGTGCGTCGCCTCCCGGGCCGCGAGCCACGCGAGCGCCGCGCCGCGGCGGCTCCCGCCGTCCTGCGCGGCCTCGGCGCGCGCCAGAGCCTTCGACGCCTGCTCGCGGGCGGCCTTGCCCGCCGCGCCGCCGGGCGTCGCGGGCGGCGCCGCGTCGGCGACTTCGCGGTCGCGCTCGTAGTCCTCGCAGCTCTCGCAGAGCCAGTCGCCGTCGGGCACCTCGTCGAGGCCCGCGCAGGCGAGGTGGAAGGCGCGGCCGCAGCCCAGCGCGTGCACGGAGTTGCCCTCCTCGCCGCAGATGACGTGGTCGCCCGCGGCCAGCGGGCCTTTGTCGCAGCCGCCGCAGACGTCCTTCATGCACGACTGGCAGTAGAAGTCGTCCTCGGGGATGCCGGCGACGCCCGCGCAGGCCGGGTGGAGCACGGCGGGGCACCCGTCGCAGCAGATGAGCGTGCCGCCGTCGCCGCAGAGTCCGCATAACGCTTCCCAGCCGTCCTGCTCCCACGGGCTCAGATCGTCGCCGCTGTAGTAGCCCATGGGCGCGCTCATGGAGCTGCTCGGCGACCGGTCGCGCTTCCGGCCCGCGCGGCGGCGCGCGGCGACCACGGGCGACTTGGCGAGGCGCGACGACCGCCGCTCGTTGCGGCGCGACATGGCGGTTTCGTGTTCTTGTTTGGGTGTTTGAAAGGTTGTGTGGGTCGTTTCGGTGTGTGTGTTCGACGAGGCGGGTCGAGGCCTTGGAGGAACGACTCGAAGGCTTGGCGAGAGCGTCTGAGCGCGCGCGGGGACGACGCACCACGGTGCTCTCCGCGAGGGCTCAGACGCCGTCGAGCCTGATCAAAATGAGCGTCAACTGCGATTGGTTCAACAAAATTTGTTGAACGATGTCGCCGCTCGCCACAGCGGCGCAGCGGCATCGCGTCGAAGCGCTGCCGGTCGCACGCGGCAAGACAGCCACCGCCGACGACCTCCTCCCTTCCTTCAGCGATGGCCGACGCTGCCTGGGCCGAGCTCTGCAGCGGCGAGTCGGCGGCGAAGCAGGCGGCGGTGACCAAGCTCCTGCGCAAGCAGGAGAAGGCCAAGGTCGTCGAGAAGAAGCGCAACGCCGTCCTGAAGAAGAAGAAGAAGGAGAAGAAGGCGCCGGCCCCCGAGGTCGAGGTGCCCGCGCCGGAGCCGGAACCACCAAAACCGCCGCCGCCGCCGGAGACCGCGGTCGCGCTCCTGCGGCGCCTCGCGCGCGCGATCCAGCAGCTCGGCGACGAGCGGAGCGAGACGCGGACGCAGGGGTTGGAGACGATCGCGCGCGTCGTCGACGCGCCGCTGCCCGAGGCGACGCTCGAGGAGCTGCTCCACGCGCTCGCGCGGCCGCTGCTGCTGCGCTTCGAGGACCCCGTGGAGAAGCACCGCGAGCGGGCGATCCGCGTCTTGAACGGGCTCTGCGGCCGCGTGCGGGACCTGACGCCCCACATGCCCTACGTCTTCCCCATGCTCCACGGCCGCGGGTCGCCCGCCGTCGGGCTGGACGTGGAGGCGGGCATCTTCGTCTTCGATCTCGAGGATCACGCGGCGTTCAAACGAGGCAAGGCCCAGGCGCGGCCGGACCTCGCGTGCGCCTTCGAGCGCGAGCGCACGCTGCGGACGCGGGAGCCGAGCGAGGAGTTGCGTTTATTATTGTGCGAACTATTGATCACGTGCACCGCGGGCCGCGCGGCGTCCGTCGTCAACGCGTACCTGCACGAAGCCATGTTACTCCTCGCGGGCTTCTGCCGCGACACCTTCGGCGAGTTGGCCTTAAAAGCCATGGAGGGCGTGAAAACCATCTGCGCCACGGAGGACCTGCAGGACCCCCTCGTGCCCTACGCGGCCGCGCTCGCGCGCGTGTCCATGCCGAACCTGCGCCACCGCCACGCCAGGGTCCGCCGCGGCGCCGTCGACGCGGTGCGCCGCGCGGTCGCCGTCAAGCACGTCGCCAAGTGGCGCGCCGCCGGCTCCGACGCCATCGCGGACCTCGTCGGCTTCCGCGAGGACAACGTCATCCCGACCGCGTCGTTCTACGGCCGCGAGGTCCGCTACAACTACGTCGCCGAACTCACGCGCGACAACAACGTCGCGGTGCGCCAGGCGCTCGTGGACTGCTTCGCCGAGTGGTTCACGCAGACGTTGGACCGCCGCGACTCCCAGCCGCGGCTCCTGGCCTACATGCTGAACTTCGCCATCGACCGCGACGAGCGCGTTCGGAAATCAGCTTTGGACGGCCTCGCCGCCGCGGGCCGCGAGATGATGGAGGAGTCGCAGTCGCGCGAGAACAACATCGAGAAGATCCAGTACGGCGTCGACGGCGACCCGCGCTGCAACCACGAGCCCGCGGGCCTGCCCTGGCCCCTCGAGAAGCGGCCGTCGCTGGGCGCGCGGACCATCGTCCGCGCGTTCACGCACCGCGTGATCCAGCCGACGATGGACGAGCTCTGCAGCTGGAACGAGGAGGCGCGGACCCAGAGCGCCGTGTTACTGCAGTCCATGTTCGTCTACTGCGAGGAGCACCTCACGGAGAAGCTCTCGAAGATCGTCCTAGCGCTGTGCAAGGCTTTATCGAGGTGCCGCTGCGAGGACTTTGGCGAGGCCCACCGCCAGCGCATCCTCGAGTGCGGCCGCGTCTTGGGCCGCTACGTCGTGCCCGAGTCCTTCGTGACCTTTTTGGCGCCGCGCGTCGTCGGCGATCTGGAGGTCATCCCGGGAGGCGTCGACGCGAGGAGCCGCGGAGACGTCGTCGACGTGCTCGAGGCCATGCTGCGGGGCTGCAAGCCCGCGGCGGCGCTGCCCCAGGTCTGCGCGCTCGTCGACGTGCTCACGCACGGCTCCCTCGTGGAGACGCGGGACCCGGGCCTACGGGCGTCGGCCGCGCGCGCCGTCGCCACGCTTCTAGAGCTCTGCAACGGGCGCGGCACCGCGGCCATCGAGGCGGCCTTCGTGGCGACGGGCCGCGTCGAGTCCCTAGACCGCGCGACGGGCGCGCTCTGCTTCGCGCTCCTGGCCTGGCGCGGCGGCGGGGAACACGTGGACGACGCGCTGGCGGCGCTCGCGGTGCTGGACCGGTCGGCGAACGCGGCGCTGCGCCACGCGCCCAAGCTCTTCGCGGGCGCGGCCCTCGACGACGCCGAGGCCGTCGACGCCCTCGCGCTTTTTGAAGCTTTGACGCTCGCCGCCGGCGCGGACCGGCCCGCGCTGCTCGCGGTGTTGGACATCGCAACGGACGCGGCCTGCCGCGACGTCGAAAGGGCCGTGCTCAAGCAGCTCGGCGTCGACGACGACGATTTCGGGGATGCGCCGGCGGCGGCCGGCGACGCCGCGGGCCCGCCGGCGGCGCCCGTCGCCGCGGCCATCGCGACGCGCGTCGGCGTCGCGCTGGAGGCGCTCGCGGCGCGCGAGTCCGACGACCGGTCGGCCGAGCGCGCCCTCGCGGGCCGCCTCTTCGCCGACGTCGCCCTCGCGCCGGCGGCGGCCTGGGAACACGCGAGCGCCGAGCGCGTCGTGCTCCTCGAGGCGCTTCTGGCGCGCGACGCGTGGCTCGACCGGAACGCGCTCCGCGCGCGCTCCGACGCCGTCGTCGCGGCGCTCCTCGAGCCCTGCGCGAGCTTCAAGTCCACGGACCGCGCCAAGAAGGAGAACGCATTATCGTGCCTCGCCTCCGTCGCGGCCGTCGTGCGCGCCTGCGTCGTCGACGCGGGCGACGAGGGCAAGCGGCGGCGCCTCGTCCCGTTTTCCAAGCGCGCCGGCCCGCTCTTCCCGGAAGGCTCGCCCGTCGCCAAAGCCGCGGCGGCGGCCTTCGACACGGCGGACCGCCTGCTGAACCGCGACGACGAGCGCACGAAGCGCGCGGCGCTCGACGTGCTCTGGGAGGTGCTCTACTGTTTGGACGCGAAGCTCGCCCTCGAGAAGTTCCTCGACGCGCTGCTCCCGCACCTGCCGGAGGACTACCCGGAGGACTACCGCGACGACGCGGAGACGCAGGTCGACGCGCTCCTCCGCGCGGCGGCCGTCCTCGACGTCGACGCGTTCCTCAAGGCCGTCCAGGACGCGAGCGCGGCGCAGCGCACGAACGTCCTCTGCTCCCTCGAGGACCACGTCGGCATGATCTCCATGATGCACCGCTGAGGGTCCGTCGTCTTTTGGCCCACTGTCTTTTTTAGCGAGCACTAACACTAGTCCATCTTGGCGGTGGTGCTAGAGGTGGTGCCGTCCTTGCCCGCGACGGCCGCCGCCTTGCCGCGGCGCCTCGCGATCTTGTCCTGCTGGGCCTTGGGCATCTTCCCGCCGTTGGCCTTGAAGTCCTTGTAGTCGACCCATGTCCCGAACATCTTGTCGAAGTCCACGGGGAACGGCACGCCGTAGTTGCACTCGAACTTGGCATGGTGCAAGTAGTGGAAGTCGCCGTTGCAGCTCGGCTCGTCGAAGCCGTCGTGGCCGCCGATGGGCGAGATGTCCGCGTGGTACTTGGCGTAGAGGAAGTGCAGCGGGTGGACCGTGAAAACGAGAGGTAAGAGCCAGGCGCACGAATAGTACAGAAAGTGCTCGACGGGATGCATCGACAACCCGCTCCAGGGGCCCGGGTTGTGGCTCTTGTGGTGCAGCGAGTGCGCCCACCGGTACAGAAACGCGCCGACGTCGCCCTGCCGCAGGCCGTTGCGCATGTCCCACCAGGGATGAATGCCGCGGTGGCACCAGTAAAAATGGATCTCGCGCCAGTACGTGATCAGGTGGAGCCCGAGAAGGTTCGGCCATAGGCGACTCGCGAAGTCCGGCGCCACGGGGAGCGCGCCGGAGGCCCAGGCCCAGGTCATGAGGCACTGCCAGCAGCCGCTCTGGAGCCAGCCGAGCGTGTTGTAGAAGATCTCGCGCTGGAGGTGGCCCGTACTACTCGAGAGCACGCCGACGCGCGCGCCGTCCTCCTCGTACGCGTCGGGCTCGTACTGATGCCGCGCGTTGAACTTGAACGGCTGGAGGCCCTTGGCGGCGCTGGACACGTAGGTAAAATAGTGCCAGCCGCCGACGAACGTGGCCTCGCAGCAGAGGTGGAACGCGAGGACCTTGAGGACCCACGGCGCCCGAAACGTCGCGCACTCCGTCGCCCACGTGCCGTCGCTGAAGAAGAGCCAGTAGGCGAACAGCGCGACGAGCGCCTCCGTGCTGTGGCCGACGTGGCAGCCGATGGCATAAACATAAAAATCGTTGAGCGTCCAGCTCCCAACGAGCTTCTTCTCGCCCCAGGTCTTGCCAAACAGCGGCAGCTTCGTGCCGAGGAAGCCCTCGCGCGTCTCGCGCGTGATGACGCCGACGATGTGGCGGATGGAGTAGGTCATCGCTGGCTGGCGTCGCGGCGAGGTGCTCGACGCTGCCGCCGCCGGCGACGGCTGCGATGGTGCTTGAGCTGCACTGTGGCAGAACTGCGCCTGCGCCAAAAACCTTGTCGTTTGGGCAGCCCTCGAAGGCGGCGCTGGTCGGCGGCATCGAACCGGCCCGTCGGCGTCGGCGTCGGACCGCTTCGTCGCGCGCTGCGCTCGATTCCGTAGCGCTGCGCGGCGGCCATGGCGTCGGAGGCGGCGCCGCCGCCGGAGCTGCCGGCGGAGCTGCACGAGATCGAGGGCATGGACATCAGCGCCATCGTCAACGACACGGTGGCCGAGGCGACGAAGGACGTGCTCGGCGAGCCCGACCTCGAGGCCGGCGAGGACGACGAGGAGCTCAAGCCCAAGGGCCCGCGGCCGCTGACCGAAATGTCGGCCATGGAGCTGCTCCTGCGAGACACGCGCGCGTTCGTGCAGCAGCAGAAGCGCGACCGCGAGATGTACCGGAAGTTCCGCTGCGCCGCGGCCTGCGGCTACGGCCTCGCGTTCCTCATGATCCTAGCCCTGACGCCCTGGTACGTCGCGACGAAGATCTACCGCTTCGTCGCCTGGCTCGCGCCCGCGGCGCCGAAGCGCGACGCGCCCGTGCAGCCCCAGTTCTGGGACCCGGCGAAGGCCATCAAGCCCAAGGCGAAGATGGGCGCCGTCGTCGACAAGGCGTCCCAGCGCGACAAGAAGCGCAAGCACAAGGCGCCGCCGAAGAGCGGCCGGTCCGCGTCCGAGGTCGTAAGGTGACGTTACTCCACGGCGGGGTCCGGGTCGGCCCAGTCGATGACGAGGTGGCGGCCGTAGAGGTGGGCGCTCTTGAGCGAACTCCGCGCCGCCGCCGCGTCGCGCGGGTTGGTGAACTCGACGAACGCGAAGCCGCGGTGCCGCCCGTCGAACCGCTTCGGCAGGCGCACCTTCTTGAGGGCGCCGAAGGCCTCGAAGAGCTGCTTGACGTCGTTGACCACGACGGCGAAGGCGAGGTTGCGCACGACGAGCTTCGTCTTGGACGTTTTTTTGGCGTCGGGCGCGCGCGCGATCTTGCGCTTCGAGAGCTCCAAACCCAACGCGTGGCCGTCGAGCGGCCGCGTCGTCGCGATGGCGGCCCTCGCGTCGTCGGCGCCGTCGAACTCGAGGAAGCCGTAGCCCCGGTTGTTGCGCTCGCCGTCGGCCGCCGGCAGGGAGCACGCGCGGACGCCGAAGGCGGAGAAGTGCGCGCGGAGCGCCGCCGCCGTCGTCTTGAAGTTGAGGTTCTTGACGAAGACCGTCGCGCCCTCGTGGACCTCCTCGTCGTCGTCGGCGGCGGCGGCGTCCGGCACCGTCGACGACGGCGCCGCGGGCGCCGCGTCGGACTTCTCCGGCGCCCAGCCGAGGTAGAGGGGCACGTGGCGGAAGCGCCGGTACGCCAACTTCTTGAAGGCCGCGCGCGCCTCGCTGGGCTCCTCGAACTCGACGACGGCCGTCGTCCGCGACGGCGCCAGGAGCACGTCGTGGACGACGCCGTGGGGCGCGAACATCTTGCGGAGCTCGGCCGCGGACGCGTCCGCGGGCAGATTCTTCACGAGGACGCTCCGCCGGCTCCTCGCGTCCGCGTCGAGGTCGTAGCCCCGGTCCCGGAAGTAGGCCAGCGTCTCCGCCTGCACCGTCGCCTCCGCGAGCGCCAGGTTGACGGCCGTGCCGGAGCCCGAGGCCTTGAAGAGCTCGGCCTTGGACGCGCCGAGCTGCGCCGCGGCCGCGGCCGCGACGGCGTCGCTCCGCACGTGGCCCCGGAGCTCGCCGTGGCTCGCGGCCAGGGCCTTCTTCTTCCGCTCCTGCTCGCGGCGCTCGCTGAAGGTCCGCGGCGCGCGGTCGTCGGCGCTCGACTTCCGCTGCTTCTCGGCGGCCGCGACCGAGAGCGCGCGGCCGCGGAACGACGCGCCGTCGAGGCTCGCCGTCGCGGCCTCGGCGGCCGTCGGCAGGACGAAGGTCACGAAGGCGAAGCCCAGGGGCGCGCGCGTCTCCTTGCTCAGGGGCTGGTGCACCTCGGAGACGGTGCCGTGCGGCGAGAAGTACGCGAGGATCTCCTCCTCCGACGCGTCGTAGGGCAGGTTCGCCACGTAGAGCCGCGCGCCGGCGTCGTCGTCCTCGTCCTCGGAGTCGTCCTTGCCATCTTTTTCTTCCTCGTCGTCGTCGTCGTCGTCGTCGCTCGCCTCCTCCGCCTCCGGCGCTTCTTCGACGTCCTCCTCCTCCTCCTCCTCGACCGCCGTCTGCTTGGAGCGCAGGTAGGCGAGGTCGTCGAGGCCGTCGTCGAAGGCCGCGGCGCTCTTCGCGACGACGGGCGCCGCCGGCGCGGCGAGGTCCGCGACGTCCACCGCGGAGTCGTCGTCCGAGTCGTCGGCGGCCGCGTCGTCGTCGTCCTCCGCGTCCTCCTCCTCGGGCGCCGCGAGGTCCTCGACGCCGCCGCCGGGCCCGCCGCCCATGAGCTCGAAGAAGCGCTCGCGGCGCGTCTGCTTCGCGTCCGACGGCTTCGGCGCCTCCGTCTTCGGCTTCTTCGCGGGCGGCGCCTCGGGCTCCTCGGGCGCCGCGGGCGCCGCGGCCGCGGGTGCCGCGCGCTTGCGCTGCTCCGCGCGCGACACGCGCAACTTCGACGTGCGCCAGTAGGCCTTGTCCAGCGTCTTGATCGCCGCCGCCGCGTCGTCGGCGCTGCGGAAGCCGACGAAGGCGATGCCGCGGCTGCCGGCGCGGGCGCCCTTCTTCTTCGGGATCTGCACGTCCGTCACGTCGTAGTCGCCGAAGTGTTTTTTGAGGTCGTCGACGCCGCAGCCGGGCGGCAGGTTCTGCACGAAGACGCGCGTCGACGCCGGGGCGGCGGCCATTGTTCGCGTCGTCGCCAAGTCTCTCGGATCAGTTCACCCAAAGTTGTTGCCGTCATGTTCTCCGCGCGCGCCTCGCCTCCGGCGGCGCCATTTGATCCGCAATCGACGCGTAATTTGCGGCGCGGCCGCGCCGGCGTGCTTGTCTTTGTTCCGGTCGGTGTCGTGGGAGAGCTACGCGCGCGCGCATGTAGCGCGCCGCGTGCTGCTAGCACGTGAGGCTAGCCTCAGGCTGAGTAATCTCGCGGTCGCGGACGTGGCGTGCGAGGCCCGTCTTCCACGCGCACTTCGACTCGCAGCCCGCGACGCCGCAGGAGCCGTCGCAGACGGCGCGCCAGAGCTCCTGTGGAGGCTCCGCGACGTGAGGTGGAGCGCCTGCGCGGCGTCGACGGCCCAGAGGTCGCACGAGGCTCTCCGGGAGCTGAATCGTCATCGCCGCCCAGCTCAGCAAGAAGAGCGTCGCGGGGATGCAGCGCGGGGTTTCCTCCGGACGACGACGACGACGACGCCTGGGCCGTGTGGTACGGCATCCCCTACGGCATCATCATTCCTCCGCCGGTTTATTGGCGGCCGCTGCTACCGCGACGTCACCTGCTGGGCCTGCTGGGGCTGCTGCTGTAGCTGATGCTGATCCTCCGACATCGTCGCGCCGGGCGGCACGTTCCTCACGTTCGCGACGATCGTCGCGCGCCTCGTCGCCGCCGCGGCGACCGCGCCGCGATCGCGCGGAAGCTCGCCGTCGCCATCTTCGCGATGGAGCGCGGCGCCGAGCGCGGAGCTCCAGGGCATGAGCTTCGACGACTGGAAGTTGACCCTTCCGCGGCGCTTCCACAGCATCATCTCCCAGCGCGCGCCGCGCGCCGCGTCCACAAAGGACGAGCGGCTCGCCGGGGGTCTCCGAGCCTCGCCTCGAGGCTGAGACGAGATCGAGCTGAGGCGCCGGCGAGTCGAGCTGTCCATCTTCTCCGACGCGCCGACGCGCGCGCGCGGGTTTGCGGACACCCCGAGCACCGCAGCCGTTCCGCGTTGACGCCCGCGAACCCTAGAACTCGCGCGGCTCCATGGCCCAGCCGCCGCGCGGCCCCCCGCCGGGCATGGGCCCGCCTCCCGGCATGCGCCCCCCGCCGGGCATGATGGCGGCGATGCCCCCGCCGGGCATGGCGGGCTTCGGCGGCGCGCCGCCGCCGCCGCCGCCGCCGCCCGCGGGGGCCCCGGCCCGGCGGCGGCGCAAGGACCCGCTCAGCGAGAAGGCGCGCAAGTGGGCGAACCTGCAGAGCAAGCGCTTCGGCCAGCGGCGCAAGTTCGGCTTCGTCGACACGTACAAGGAGGACATGCCCGCGGAGCACGTGCGCAAGATCATCAAGGACCACGGCGACATGTCCTCCAAAAAATTCAAGCACGACAAGCGCGTCTACCTCGGCGCGCTCAAGTACGTGCCGCACGCGGTCTACAAGCTCCTCGAGAACCTGCCCATGCCCTGGGAGCAGGTGCGCAACGTGTCCGTGCTCTACCACGTCACGGGCGCCATCTCCTTCGTCAACGAGATCCCCCGCGTCGTCGAGCCCATCTACGCGGCCCAGTGGGGCACGATGTGGATCATGATGCGCCGCGAGAAGCGGGACCGGCGCCACTTCAAGCGCATGCGCTTCCCGCCCTTCGACGACGAGGAGCCGCCCCTGGACTACGGCGACAACATTCTGGACGTGGAGCCCCTGGAGCCCATCGCCATGGAGCTCGACGCGGACGACGACGAGGCCGTCGCCGACTGGTTCTACGACGCGAAGCCCTTAGAGCTCGAGCCCGAGTACGTCAACGGCACGTCCTACCGCAAGTGGACGCTCACCGTGCCCATCATGACGACGCTCTACCGCCTCGCGGGCCAGCTCGTGTCCGACCTCCTCGACCCGAACTACTTCCACCTCTTCGACAAGCGGTCGTTCTTCACCGCGAAAGCTTTAAACTGCGCGATCCCCGGCGGGCCCAAGTTCGAGCCCCTCTTCCGCGACGCCGACGTCGACGAGGACGACTGGAACGAGTTCAACGACATCAACAAGATCATCATCCGCCACCAGATCCGCACCGAGTACAAGGTCCAGTACCCGTACCTCTACACGTCGCGGCCCCGCGCGGTCAAGCTCGCGCCCTACCACCACCCGCCGCTCTACTACGTCAAGCCCGACGACCCGGACCTGCCGGCCTTCTACTTCGACCCCGTCGTCAACCCCATCTCCGCGTTCCGGAGCCGCGCGCGCGCGGCCGACGACGACGACGGCGGCGGCGGCGACGACGACGGCGACGACGGCTTCTGCCTGCCCGAGGACGTCGGTCCTCTACTCGCCGACGAGCCCCTCTACACCGACGCGACGGCCGGCGGCATCTCGCTCTACTGGGCGCCGCGGCCCTTCAACCTCCGGCGCGGCCGGACGCGGCGCGCGTTCGACGTGCCCCTCGTCAACGCCTGGTTCAAGGAGCGCTGCCCGCCGGACCACCCTGTCAAGGTGCGCGTCTCCTACCAGAAACTCTTGAAGTGCTGGGTCCTCAACGAGCTCCACCGGAAGCGGTCGAAGCCGTTGAACCGGAAGCACCTCTTCCGGTCGCTCAAGGCCACGAAATTCTTCCAGTCCACGGAGCTCGACTGGGTCGAGGTCGGGCTCCAGGTCTGCCGCCAGGGCTACAACATGCTCAACCTCCTCATCCACCGCAAGAACCTGAACTACCTCCACCTCGACTACAACTTCAACCTCAAGCCCGTCAAAACTTTGACGACGAAGGAGCGCAAGAAGAGCCGCTTCGGCAACGCCTTCCACCTCACGCGCGAGATCCTGCGCCTGACGAAGCTCGTCGTCGACTCCGTCGTCCAGTACCGCCTCGGCAACGTCGACGCGTTCCAGCTCGCGGACGGGCTGCAGTACATCTTCGCGCACGTGGGCCAGCTGACGGGCATGTACCGCTACAAGTACCGCCTCATGCGCCAGGTGCGCATGTGCAAGGACCTGAAGCACCTCATCTACTACCGCTTCAACACGGGCCCCGTGGGCAAGGGCCCGGGCTGCGGCTTCTGGGCGCCCGGGTGGCGCGTCTGGCTGTTCTTCATGCGCGGCATCGTGCCGCTCTTGGAGCGCTGGCTCGGCAATTTGCTCGCGCGCCAGTTCGAGGGGCGCCACACGAAGGGCATCGCGAAGACGGTGACGAAGCAGCGCGTCGAGTCCCACTTCGACCTCGAGCTCCGGGCCGCGGTCATGCACGACATCCTCGACATGATGCCCGAGGGCGTGAAAGCCAACAAGTCGCGGACGATCCTCCAGCACTTGTCCGAGGCCTGGCGCTGCTGGAAGGCGAACATCCCCTGGAAGGTCCCCGGCCTCCCCGCGCCCATCGAGAACATGATTCTACGGTACGTGAAAGCGAAGGCCGACTGGTGGACGAACATCGCGCACTACAACCGCGAGCGCATCAAGCGCGGCGCGACGGTCGACAAGACGGTCTGCAAGAAGAACCTGGGCCGCCTGACGCGCCTCTGGCTCAAGGCGGAGCAGGAGCGGCAGCACAACTACCTGAAGGACGGGCCCTACGTGTCCGCGGAGGAGGCCGTGGCCATCTATACGACGACGGTGCACTGGCTCGAGAGCCGCAAGTTCTCGCCGATCCCCTTCCCGCCGCTGTCCTACAAGCACGACACGAAGCTGCTCATTTTGGCGCTGGAGCGCCTCAAGGAGAACTACGGCATCAACTCGCGGTTGAACCAGAACCAGCGCGAGGAGCTGGGGCTCATCGAGCAGGCCTACGACAACCCGCACGAGGCGCTGTCGCGCGTGAAGCGCCACCTGCTGACGCAGCGCGCGTTCAAGGAGGTGGGCATCCAGTTCATGGACTTGTACAGCCACCTCATCCCCGTCTACGAGGTCGAGCCGCTGGAGAAGATCACGGACGCCTACCTGGACCAGTACCTGTGGTACGAGGCGGACAAGCGCCACCTCTTCCCGAACTGGATCAAGCCCGCGGACTCGGAGCCGCCGCCGCTGCTCTGCTACAAGTGGTGCCAGGGCGTCAACAACCTCGACAAGGTCTGGGACACGGACGCCGGCGAGTGCGTCGTCATGATGGAGACGAAGCTCGAGAAGGTCTACGAGAAGATCGATTTGACGCTGCTGAACCGCTTATTACGCCTCATCGTCGACCACAACATCGCGGACTACATGACGGCGAAGAACAACGTGACCGTGGCCTACAAGGACATGATGCACACGAACTCCTACGGCCTGGTCCGGGGCCTCCAGTTCGCGTCCTTTGTGTTCCAGTACTACGGCCTCGTGCTCGATTTGCTCGTGCTGGGCCTGACGCGCGCGTCGGAGATCGCGGGGCCGCCCCAGGTGCCCAACGAGTACCTCTCCTACAAGGACGTGTCCACGGAGACGCGCCACCCCATCCGCCTCTACACGCGCTACGTCGACCAGGTCTTCTTCTTATTGCGTTTCGACGCGGACGACGCGCGCGACCTCATCCAGCGCTATTTGACGGAGCACCCGGACCCGAACAACGAGAACGTCGTCGGCTACAACAACAAGAAGTGCTGGCCGCGCGACCAGCGCATGCGCCTCATGAAGCACGACGTCAACCTGGGCCGCGCCACGTTCTGGGACGTGAAGAACCGCCTGCCGCGGTCCGTGACGACGATCGACTGGGAGAACTCGTTCGTGTCCGTCTACTCCAAGGACAACCCGAACTTGCTGTTCAACATGTGCGGCTTCGAGGTGCGCGTCAAGCCCAAGTGCCGCATGCACCTGGAAGCTCTCGCCCACCGCGACGGCGTCTGGAACCTGCAGAACGACGCGACGAAGGAGATGACGGCGCAGGCGTTCCTGCGCGTCGACGAGCAGTCGCTCCGGACCTTCGAGAACCGCGTGCGCCAGGTCCTGATGTCGTCCGGGTCGACGACCTTTACGAAGATCGCCAACAAGTGGAACACGGCGCTCATCGGTCTGATGACCTACTTTCGGGAGGCCGTCGTGAACACGCAGGAGATGCTCGACCTATTGGTGAAATGCGAGAACAAGATCCAGACGCGCATCAAGATCGGCCTCAATTCCAAGATGCCGTCGCGCTTCCCGCCCGTCGTCTTCTACACGCCCAAGGAGCTCGGGGGGCTGGGCATGCTGTCCATGGGCCACGTGCTCATCCCGCAGAGCGATTTGCGGTATTCGAAGCAGACGGACCAGGGCGTGACGCACTTCCGGAGCGGCATGTCCCACGAGGAGGACCAGATCATCCCGAACCTGTTCCGCTACATGCAGCCCTGGGAGAGCGAGTTCGTCGACTCGCAGCGCGTCTGGGCCGAGTACGCGCTGAAGCGCCAGGAGGCGAACGCGCAGAACCGGCGGCTCACGCTCGAGGACCTCGAGGACTCCTGGGACCGGGGCATCCCGCGCATCAACACGCTCTTCCAGAAGGACCGGCACACGCTGGCCTACGACAAGGGCTGGCGCGCGCGGACGGACTTCAAGCAGTACCAGGTGCTCCGCCAGAACCCGTTCTGGTGGACGCACCAGCGCCACGACGGCAAGCTCTGGAACCTCAACAACTACCGCACGGACATGATCCAGGCGCTGGGCGGCGTCGAGGGCATTTTGGAGCACACGCTCTTCAAGGGCACCTACTTCCCCACGTGGGAGGGCCTCTTCTGGGAGAAGGCGTCGGGCTTCGAGGAGTCGATGAAGTACAAGAAGCTCACGAACGCGCAGCGGTCCGGCCTGAACCAGATCCCGAACCGGCGCTTCACGCTGTGGTGGTCGCCGACGATCAACCGCGCCAACGTCTACGTCGGCTTCCAGGTGCAGCTCGACCTCACGGGCATCTTCATGCACGGCAAGATCCCGACGCTCAAGATCTCGCTCATCCAGATCTTCCGGGCCCACCTCTGGCAGAAGATCCACGAGTCCGTGACCATGGACCTGTGCCAGGTCTTCGACCAGGAGCTCGACGCGCTGGAGATCGAGAACGTGCAGAAGGAGACGATCCACCCGCGGAAGTCCTACAAGATGAACTCGTCGTGCGCGGACATTCTGCTCTTCGCGGCCTACAAGTGGCAGGTCGCCAAGCCGAGCCTGCTCCACGACACGAAGGACGCCTACGACGGCGCGACGTCGTCCAAGTACTGGATCGACGTCCAGCTCCGCTGGGGCGACTTCGACAGCCACGACGTCGAGCGGTACGCGCGCGCCAAGTTCCTCGACTACACGACGGACAACATGTCCATCTACCCGTCGCCGACGGGCGCCCTCATCGCCATCGACCTGGCCTACAACCTCTACAGCGGCTACGGCGCCTGGTTCCCGGGCTGCAAGCCGCTGATCCAGCAGGCGATGGCGAAGATCATCAAGGCGAACCCCGCGCTCTACGTGCTCCGCGAGCGCATCCGCAAGGGTTTACAGTTGTATTCGTCGGAACCTACCGAGCCCTACCTCTCGTCCCAAAATTACGGCGAGCTCTTCTCCAACCAGATCATCTGGTTCGTCGACGACACGAACGTCTACCGCGTGACGATCCACAAGACGTTCGAGGGCAACCTGACGACGAAGCCCATCAACGGCGCGATCTTCATCTTCAACCCGCGCACGGGCCAGCTCTTCCTGAAGATCATCCACACGTCCGTCTGGGCGGGCCAGAAGCGCCTGGGCCAGCTGGCCAAGTGGAAGACCGCGGAGGAGGTCGCGGCGTTGATCCGGTCTTTGCCCGTCGAGGAGCAGCCGAAGCAGATCATCGTGACGCGCAAGGGCATGCTCGACCCGCTGGAAGTGCACCTCCTCGACTTCCCGAACATCGTCATCAAGGGGTCGGAGCTGCAGCTGCCCTTCCAGGCCTGCCTCAAGGTCGAGAAGTTCGGCGATCTCATCCTCAAGGCGACGGAGCCGCAGATGGTGCTCTTCAACATCTACGACGACTGGCTCAAGACCATCTCGTCCTACACGGCCTTCAGCCGCCTGATCCTCGTGCTGCGCGCGCTCCACGTCGCCCAGGACCGGACGAAGGTCGTGTTGCGGCCCGACAAGACCGTCGTCACGGAGCCGCACCACGTCTGGCCGACGCTCTCCGACGAGCAGTGGGTCAAGGTCGAGGTCGCCCTGAAGGATCTGATCCTGGCGGACTACGGCAAGAAGAACAACGTCAACGTGGCGTCGCTGACGCAGAGCGAGATCCGCGACGTCATCCTCGGAATGGAGATCGCGCCGCCGTCGTTGCAGCGGCAGCAGGTCGCGGAGATCGAGAAGCAGGCGCGCGAGCAGAGCCAGCTGACGGCGGTGACCACCAAAACCACCAACGTCCACGGCGAGGACATGGTCGTCACGACGACGTCCCAGTACGAGCAGCAGTCCTTCTCGTCGAAGACGGACTGGCGCGTCCGCGCGATCTCCGCGACGAACTTGCACCTCCGCACGCACCACATCTACGTCAACTCCGACGACGCCGGCGACGGCGGTTATACCTACGTGCTCCCGAAGAACGCGCTGGCCAAGTTCATCACGATCGCCGATTTACGGACGCAGGTCGCGGGCTACCTCTACGGCGTGTCGCCGCCGGACAACGCGCGCGTCAAGGAGATCCGGTGTATTGTGGTGGTGCCCCAGGTCGGCAACCACCAGCAGGTGACGCTGCCCCACCACCTGCCGAAGCACGACTATTTGGAGGATCTGGAACCGCTGGGCTGGCTCCACACGCAGCCGAACGAGCTGCCGCAATTGGCGCCGCAGGACGTCATCGCGCACGCGGCCGTCATGGCCCGCGACGAGTCCTGGGACGGCGAGAAGACGGCGGTGGTGACCTGCGCCTTCACGCCCGGGTCCTGCTCGCTGACGGCCTACAAGCTCACGCCCGCGGGCTTCGAGTGGGGCAAGCAGCACGCGGACCAGGCGGCCGGCAACCCGCCGGGCTACGCGCCGACGCACTACGCCAAGGTCCAGATGTTGTTGAGCGACCGCTTCCTCGGGTTCTTCATGGTGCCCGACGACGACGTCTGGAACTTCAACTTCATGGGCGTCCAGCACTCCAAGTCCATGAAGTACGACCTCAAGCTCGCGAACCCCGCGCCCTTCTACGACGAGATCCACCGGCCCTACCACTTCCTCAACTTCACGAACATGGAGGCCCTCGGCAACGACGAGGCCGACGCCCCGGGGGGGCGGGCCCCACCCCGCCCATGGCCCGGGAAATTCCGCCCTTGACGCCCGGAAGCCGAAGAGCGATCGATTCTTCCGCCTCCCGACGTTTAAAGGGTGGGGGAGGGCCCGGGCGCCGGCCCCCCGGGGCCAACAGGACCCCCCAACCCGGGAGGGACGCCCGCGCCGTGGGAGGGCCGCGTTGGCCCCCCCACCCCCCCCCCCCCGCCGCGGCGCGTTCGACGTTTCGGCGGCGCCGCCTTCGACCGTCGCCGATCCGGCCGCGACCACCCCCCCCGGTCCGAGACACCGCCCCGTAGGACCCCCCTGATATCCGAGCCCTCCCCCCTCGCGTAGGCGATGCTCAAGCTCGTCCTCGCGCTCTGCGCGACGGTCGCCGCGGCGTCTACCGACTGCGACGCGAGCGGCGTCTACCCCGACATCTGCAACCCGTTCGACGGCGGCGAGTGCGCCGACTCGACGTCGTGGAAGGCCAAAAAGGGGGGGGTCACGTGCGCGAACCTCCTCGACGGCATTACCAAGAGCAAGAAGGTGACGAAGCAGTGCAAGCTCAAGTCCGCGGACGGCGTCGAGGCCCGCGACGCGTGCCAAGTGACGTGCGACCGGTGCCCCGAGTGCAAAGACTCCGGGAACTTCTTCGTCGGCGCGGCCAAGTTCAACAGCTACAAGACCTGCGCCTGGGTCGGCGAGGACCGCGCGGGCCGCTGCGGCCTCGTCGGGGAGAAGGACGGCGACGAGTACGCCGCCTGGGAGATGTGCCCCGCGGCGTGCCACCTGTGCGAGCGCGAGTGCGCGGACGACCTCGCGTGGAACCCGAAGAAGTACGCCAAGAGCAAGGCGTTCAAGAACGACAAGATGGACGACCTCGACGACGAGGCGACGGGCAACGGCTGCGCGTGGGTCGCCGACAAGCTCGACGAGTACGATTATTCGTTCGCCGCGACAAAGCACTTCTGCAACATCAGGGGCGGGCCGGGGACGGGGAAGAAGCCCCAGATCGTCGACGCCTACGACGCCTACGAGGGGTGCGCCAAGACCTGCGGCAACTGCCACGAGGCCTTCCCGACGCCCGCGCCGTC